GATTTTTAATCACATTTGCAAAGTCCCTTTTGCCATATAGGGTAATGTTCTCAGGTTCTAGGGATTAGAAGTAGAACTTGGTGGGGGGTGAGGTCATTATTCAGCCTCCCACTGAACTGAATAAATCATCAATATTTTGAAGTGTGAAGTAGGAACAAAGAATTCAAAATCGAATCTCTTTCTCAAGCTAAGAAAACCATTTATGGTGGCACAGCATGGATTATTCACATACGATATATTTTACGTACAGATGTATTTTACAGCATGTACATAACCATTCTGGAACACATAAAAATGGCATCTAAAATGTGTAATATTAGGTAATTACTTAAATAAGGCCCAGCTGAGGGAGCAGGGTCATCTCAGTTAGTTGCTAGAAATACATTGCAATATCATTGTAATGGAGAAAATGAAGACATCATGTGTCTTTTTTTTTTTTTAATAGGGTCTCATTCTGTTGCCTAGGCTGAAGTATGCAGTGGTACAATCTCAGCTCGCTGAAATTGATCCTCCCACCTCAGCCTCCTGAGTAGCCAGGACTATAGGTGCACACCACCATGCCCAGCTAATTTTTGTGTTTTTAGTAGTGATGGGGTTTTGCCATGTTGGCCAGACTAGTCTGGAATTCCTGACCTCAAGTGATTACCCACCTCAGCCTCTCAAAGTGCTAGGAATACTGGCATGAGCCACCCTCCCAGGCCAGATACATCATTTCCTCACACTTTGTATCCGAAAGATGAGACAGCTTGAATGAGTTTTTTTTCAAGGTAGCAAGAATGTTGAGCTCCTGGCTTGACTAAATTGTAATTCTTACAGTATTTAGTATTTAATATATATATTTACTGAGTGTCTGTTAATGGTTTAGGCACTGAGGTACATCATGCCCTTTGGTCTGATAGTATGTTTTTTATTAACTTCTTAGGTGTATAGTCCTTTCTTGTCTGTTTGCTTTGCTCACACATTCAATATATTTTTCTAGGTTTCAGTCTTTAAATGAGCCTTTCAGCTAATTTTAGACCTCTGGGAACCTAAGTCTGCTTTATCTGATTAGTGGAGTTAGCTAAATTCTTAGATCCTCAAAAACTGTGGTTCGCAGCCATGGAAAATGTTGTACCCCCGCTTCCCTCAACTCCGTGACATTTGATGATATCTGGAGAGGTTTCTGATTTTCATGCCTGGGGTTGGGGAGTGGCAGTGGTCTCTAGTGGGTAAAGGTCGGGCATGCTGCTTAACATCCCATAATGCATAGCACAATTTCCCCTGGAAGCAGAGAGTTATGAGGTTCAAGTGTTAATATTGCTGAGGTTGAGAAACCATGATCTAAAATTATATTGTCTCCATTAATCTTTGGCATAAATCACATTGTAAAAAAAATTGAGTGTGTTCTATATTGGGATTGTGCCAGTAAATGTGAGATAAAGAGGCTTTTGTGGAGCAGGCAATATTTAGGACTACAGTGATTTATGACCTGAAACTTGAGGGTTTGGAATCTCGTTTGGGGAGGGTACTAATTTTCCTCATGGTTGAAAATTAAAATTTTGAAGCAAGTCTCCCTTATAGGCAGGGTAGAATAATTTACTTTTAAGTAAGATGTAGACTTCTGAATGTGTTGCATGCATACATAGTTTGGCATGCATTATTTTGACCAGTGTTCATATCACACAGCACATTTAATATCAAAGCTAAGGAATAGGTGCAATGATAACTTACAAACGACAATTTATATCAGCTTATGCTTTACAGAGAACTTTCATGTACATTAGAAAGAAAACATATTTTTGTGCTAGGCATTTTAAATATGTTTAATTTTCACACATCTAAAGATAGATATTATCTCTATTTTTTAACATAATAAAATGTAACTTCAGGAAACAGACTTTTCTATTTAATCTTATACATGCTTGGTGTGTAATCTTGTTTATTTTCAGTTGATGGGTATTCGTTTTACAGACATCTTATGTATAAAGAGCCAGTAGTGGTAAAGTACTTTACTGTCGATCTCTCAGTATGAGAATTGATAGTATTTCATTTACTTGGAAGTCTTTTAAAAAGTGCTGGGTAACTTCTTCCGTTGTCTTTGGGTGATGGATTTAGGAAGGAAATTATTGGCAATATAGGGTTTGAATCAACACTTTGAGAAAAAATTGAGTTATAGTTCAGGATATTATAAAAATAACTTTTTGGGATTAAGAAAGAAGTAATTTATTTTAAAGTATAGCAATGTAGAAAATATTTGTGATTATACTCATACTATTAATAGAATGCAGTGTTGGAAGAGTCTATAAATCACATCAAACCTTAATAGTTTCGTAACCTTGGGAAAGTTTCTTAAGCTTTTGGAGTTGCAGTTTCCTAATCTCAAAATCATTACTTTGTTGTATGGATTAAAGGAGATAATGTAGAATCATCAGCATAATGATTAATATAAGTCATTAATAAAGGCAATTATTACATTATGTAATTCAGTATAAAGTAGGACTTAAACAGATCACAGCTAGAAAACACTTCATTAAGACGAGTGTCCTTAAGATTTTTAAACTGTTCGGCCCAAAAAATAAATTTTTCAAAGTGTAAGTAAAATGGGTCTTTTTTATAGGACTTCTCATAATTTTAATTTGCCATTACATGCATTCAAGAGGACAGCATAGAATTAGCACTTTAAAAAATGTTTTGACCTTCAGACCTATTAAAATGCGGCCAGTTTGTCCTGTTTCACGGTACAGTTTGAGAAACACTTGGAAGAAAGTATATAATCAGGCAACTTGATTCCAATATCATGATGATAAAGACTAAAAGATTTCTATTATTAAATTTTATATGGATTTTGAGCATGGGATCAAGTCTGGAAGGACATCTGAAATGTCTAGTTCCGTATTCTTTCATCTCAGTGGTTTGGAAAAGATTTTTGTTGATGTTAATACTTGTCTCTACTCTTTGTCCTCCTTTGAAGAGAAGTCACTAGTAATTTAGTAACTGTGTGTGTGGTGTGACTGTGTGTGTGAGACGTCATGATGGGTAAGAAGAGGATCCACGAGTTTATCCTCAGCCTTAATCCGCTCCACCTCTCAATAGCACTGTTGGCTCTGCCTAACCTCGACATCTTTACATCCTCATGTCGGTAAGGAGATCATGTAGAATATCCCACATAATGATGGATATAAAGTGTCTGTGTCTTGCTTGCCTGCGCTGCGGTCGCCACTCCTACCACCCTGGGTGTCTCTTCTGTCAGCCTCGCTGGTTTCTCTTCTACTTCTTAACCCTTAAGTGTTGGGTTTGTGAGGACACTACACCTGGACTGCTTCTCTCTATGTATTTATTTTCTAGATGATTGCATTCAGTCTTATGAGGTTTTGTTTCATCTCTATGCTGACAACTCTACTAATTATATCCCTATTCTAAATTTCTATCTGGAGCATCTTCCTTGAATGTCTAATTACCAATTTACCTACTCAACATTTTGGTGTTGTTGTTATTTACTTTAAGTGTTTCACACTTAACATATCTAAAACCAAAGCCTACTATTCTCATTGCTGCAGTTACCCAGCATTGTTACCTTTTAAACTGTTTGGCAGAACAGTTTAAAAATCTTAAGGGCATAGTAGCAATAAAGTTTTCTAATTGTGATCCATTTAAGTTCTACTTTATACTTAATTATGTAATATAATAATTTCCTTTATTATTCACTTTATTAATCACAGGGAAAAAAATCACGTGTAAGTTTAGTTGGTATCTAGTCCCTCCCTGAACACATTTTATAAAACTGAATGTTATAACTGCATTTAATAAACAGATCATACATAATGAATACTAAATTCTGTATTCAGTAGTCACCTTAATATGCACTCTGTTTCTGGTTTACCATCTGAGGAGATGCATGTGAGTCTCAGTCATGAAATCAGCTTTATGTAACAACAAGCATATTGGTAGGAAAGAAGAATTAGAAGTCTCTGGTTGAGAGGGTTAAACCCATCTTTCAGCTCCTGCAGTAGCACTCCTCAGTCGTGTTACTTAAGTGGGACTGTGTGCCAGCATCTTTGAATGCATGTGTGTGTGTGTGTTTTTCTCTTTAAGTGAAACAGTGCTGTTCTTAGTAGTTTGTGGGAGAGCTGTGAAATTTAATAACAAATTATTTTTAACAAGAGGGTACTTATTCATTGTCAAGATTGGAATAAGCATTATGTTGCTAGGGCAAAAGTTGAATTTCTAAGTTTTTTTCTCACATAAGTAAGTACAGAAATCGTCAACTTTATGTATTTGGGCTCACTAATTGTCTCCAGGAATGATGTTATTTTCTCATGTCATTTTAATAGTTTCCACAACGATTAGACATAGCTCCGTTTTGTAGCAATAGCAGGTTAAAACCAAGTGAGTCACAAGCCTCTAGACGTCACTGGGAGGTTGTCAAATGGAATGCAGTTTCATTTTTAGGAATGAAGGTGGGAGGGAAGGAGGAAGATTCTGTTTCTTACTTTTCTTTTTAGTGCATCTTGCTTTTTTTGAGAGAAGGAAAGAAGTAAAAGTATTCTAAGAATTCATCTTTAACTTGTTTTATTCACATATCTCTTTTGTTTGACATGGTGATGAGACAATGGTGATTGCACTTTCTCTATTTTAACTCATGTGATGGATGAGCTTCCATTAATAGAATGATAGAACTTCCATTAATAGAACAAGAAGCCAGTACCTGATATACTCCTAAATTCTTTTTTGTAATTCCTAGGTTTTGAAGAGCAGTGGCCCCTTCCCTTAGAGACAGTGGTATTAGAAACTATTTTCTCATATATTTCTTAAAATTTCACTTAGTACATTTAGGGTTTCTTAGGACACCTGCAGTTTTCTCCCATTTGCATATAGACTGGCTTGTTGCATATATAAAAATGAGGTCAGGTGTTTGAGGCCAGCCTGGCCAATGTGGTGAAACCCTATCTCTAATCAAAATACAAAAAATTAGCTGGGCATGGTGGCAGGTGCCTATAATCCCAGCTACTTGGGAGGCTGAGGCAGGAGAATGGCTTGAAGCCAGGATGCTGAGGTTGTAGTGAGCTTATATCGTGCCATTGCACTCCAGCCTGGGCAAAAAGAGCAAAAGTTTGTGTTAAAAAAAAATGATGCCACCACTGTGTCCTCAGAAGGACTTCCTTCTGCTTTAAATTTTCTCTACTGTCTCCAACTGCCACACATGCCTCCGCTCTTGCCCCATACATACGTGACAGATTTAAACCAGATGCAGTCCACATACTTTTTCTTCCTGTGGCTGCTTATGAAATCATGATTCAGGGCCTTATTTCTTGATTTTCTAAGACTTGTGAACAGGTGGTCAAACTGCATTAGCAACAACTGGAGAGCAGAGATTACTTAGTGGCTTGGAGAGGGACCAAGTATCTTGTAAGCCTGGCTCTTCTAATATCAGTTTCCAAACAGGCAACTCCCAGGTCATCTGGTGCCACCCAGGGCAGGGCAGGGCTGGAACTGGCGTTTGAAGGGTTGGGTCTGTAGGAAGAACCCACGCCTTGCTCTGGGAAGCGGCCTCAGGAAGCAGAGGCTGGGGACAGAATCACTCATGCGTTGCAGTTGTTCTGGGCAACAAAGCAAGGCGGATACTTATTCTGGTAGCAGGGTGGAGTCTGAACTGGGCAGTTGCCTCTGCTCCAGCCCCTTGTAGAATTTCAGAGTCCCTGTTAACCACGGAGACATGGGCTGGAAGCTGGATGTGGGGGCAAGTGAGTGTAAACTTCTTACCTTTTCTGTTAGGATGTGGATTAATCTTCCTCTGGGGTATTTTGGACAAAAGCATTCCCACTGTGTCAAAAATTCCAGCATGAGTTTTTACTCATACACGATTCAGTCAGTAAACTGTATTGGATCTTAACCAAGGTTGGCTTGGACAGTATAGGGACTGGGATGTGGGGAGAAGAGATGATTTTGGAGCATAAAGAATTCAACTCCTAGGAGGTTATGATATCAGGGCAGAGCATGGGGAGATCAGGCCTTCCAGTGCTGCAAATGAGAATGCTGGTACTTTGAGGAAGAGGGATACTAAGACATGTGAGAGGAACATTGAGAAGTGGGATTCTGTGGTGAACTCTACGAAGATTTATTCTCATTTTGGGGAAATTTTCCTACATCTTTCTTAGCCCGACCTGCTGAGCTGGTTCTGTGAGTGGCTTTAGGTAACTCGTATATGAACATTTAAATGCTTGGCTGTTCTTAGCTAGGACTTTGATTGACTCTGGGATACAACCATGTGGCCAGTGGGGCTCCAGCTCTCTGCTGTCTGTGCCCACACACAGACTCCTTAGAGCATAGTATGCTCTAAATATACCATGGGGAAGGCTGTGCCGGGTGCATGTGTGTGGGCCTTGAATTAGCTCCTTGGATAAACAGAAGGTGTTTGGAAATATTTTCGGTGCAGCTTTAGCCCTAGAACATAACTGGCTGGTGTACTCTGGTAAAACTATAATCTTACCCATTAGCACCTTATTCCCAAACTCTATCATACATGAAGATAGATTTTGGCTGTGTAGGCACATCTTTCCTCAGATTTTGGAAAATGTATGGGTATTTGGCCAAGGTAGGCCCTGGTAGACCACGGATGTGTGGGGAGGGCTGGCTTGGTGCCAATGTGGAAGTTTGGACGATGATAGTAATGCCATGCCAGTGTGCTTTGTCCTTGGTTTGACCTTCTAGAAATAATTTCTTATCCTTGCTTAAAGCCTTCTATGGCAAAAGGGTAAGGAAACTATAATGTAAAAGAGTGCCTTGAATTATTCTTCACAGAAATGTCTCTTCTGAGGAGGAAAACTGTGTGTGTGGGGTTAAGGGGGCTGAGTTGACTGCTTCAGCCACTGTCCTGTCTCCTAGTCGTTTGGTTGAGATGGATAATTAAGGAATAGCCTTCAATTGTCACACTTACTTGTTCTGCTTTGATTAAGCATTCTTTTTTTTTGGAGACAGAGTTTCGCTCTGTTGCCCAGGCTGGAGTGCAGTGCCAAGATCTCAGCTCACTGTAACCTCTGCCTTCCGGGTTCAAGCGATTCTCTTGTGTCAGCTGCCTAAGTAGCTGGGACTACAGGGGCAAGCCACCATGCCTGGCTAATTTTTGTATTTTTAATAAAGATGGGGTTTCACCATGTTAGCCAGGATGGCCTCAACCTCCTGACCTTGTGATCTGCCCACCTTGGCTTCCCAAAGTGCTGGGATTACAGGTGTGAGCCACCACACCCAGCCTGATTAAATATTCCTTAAATCTCTCAGTAAAGCTCAGTGAGGCTGGTACTGTTGTTCCAATTTTACAGGTGCGGCTTTGGAGACAGTGAAGTGATGCGACCAAGTCCTCACAGCTAGCGAAAGTGGAGCCGGAATTTAGGCTCTAGAGGTCTGAACCCAAACTCCTACACTCAACCAAGCTGCCTCCTCAGGGAAGGACCCTGCGTGGGAGCCCTGAAGAGTCACAGCATCTATGTGGACTTTTTTCTCCCCAGGTCCTTTGGTTAGAAATGATATTTCTTGATTGACTTGGTACTAGTATTTATAACCTTTGAATAAAGACAAGGGGATGAGACCTAGAGCTTCCTGGTTCTAAGTGAACACAGTAGCAATTAGGATGAGATGATTACAGCTGGATGAGTTCTTGCGAGAGCTTGGGGCTCCCTTGTTCCTACTGTCTGGCAGAAAGCTGAGATGTCCATGATGGGCATATAGTTTCTGGCCCTTTGTCAGGAATCAAAGGCGTTACCAGAGGGATTCCATTAATAGAGTGAAAGATTATATCTATGCTATATTTGCGATTTCTTGAATATTAAAGATATTTAAAAGTTAATGTATGATCAAAGTATAGAGTGAGAGCCATCGACATACCCAAGATGGGTATTTTTTTTGGCAGCAATTAATATTTCATCTCTACCCATTTTTTTTTTTTTTGATACAGAGTCTGGCTCTGTCACCCAGGCTGGAGTGCAGTGGCACAATCTCAGCTCACTGCAACCTCTTCCTCCTGGGTTCAAGCGATTCTCCTGTCACAACCTCCTGAATAGCTGGGATTACAGGCACACACCGCCACTCCCAGCTAATTTTTCTATTTTTAGTAAAGATGGACTTTCACCATGTTGGCCAGGATGGTCTTGATCTCCTGACCTCATGATCTGCCCTCCTCGGCCTCCCAAAGTGCTAGGATTACAAGCGTGAGCCACGGTGCCCAGCCCTCTACCCATTTTTAATGCAGATTTGTGTTTCAGTGCAGGTGTGGGTTCTTTGGGCTCGGTCTTTCAGAGCTCTTTAAGGAAGCTTTCTCATCACATAGACCAGCATGTAAGCTTTATATTTAGTCCTTTGAAGTTTGTATAAAATGCTTTGGTCTTCGTTTCTATATCTGTTTTGTGGAGGGATTATTGATTTGATTCTTAAGAATTTCATTTTATTGCAATTTAAAGATAACACCTTAGTAAGAAACATAATAAAGAGTATCAATACAATTTGAGTCAAAATTGGACATATTTTAAGTAGGTTAATGCAATTTAATTGTTCTCTGACATTGTATGAGGATTATTTCCTGAGCTTTTATGATTTCAGGCTTTTTCTTGCTAATTTATGTTTCTATAGGTTAAACAAATGTATTTAATCAGAATTTGAGAGCACCTGTGTGTCATGTACTATGTGAGGCATTTTTAATCAAATATTTTTATGTGCTTGCCAACTGGTAGACCCTGTGTTAAGGCAGTTGGAATATAGCAGTGAACAAACACAAGAATCTTTTTGGATTCAGGTGGAAGAGAGAAAAACATGGATATGGTAGATGGTTTTAAATACGAAAATGAAGCACGGATGATAGATTGGGTGTGTCAGGTGGGCTAGTTGCAATTCTCAGTATTGGGGTCCAGTGATGGGCCTTGCCCTCATGTAGCTTACAGCCTCATATTAATTCTTTGTTCAAAGAATTGTTGTTCTTTGATCATAGTGTAGAGTAAGGGCTATCAACATACTCAAGATAGGTATTTTTTGAAACTATTAATATTTCATCTCTACCCATTTTTATTGTAGATTTGGGTTTCAATGCCAGTATGGGTTCTTTGGTCTCCCCTCCCCTCCCTTCCCCTCCCTTTCCTTTCCCTTCTCCTTTCCTTCCCCTCTCCTCCCCTCCCCTCCCTTTCCTTCCTCTTCTTCTTCCCTTCCCCTCTCCTCCCCTCCCTTCCCCTCACTTTCTTCTTTTGAGACAGGGTCTCGCTTTTTCACCCAGCTGGAGTGCGGTGGTGTGGTAATAGTTCACTGCAGCCTTGAATTCCTGGGTTCAAGAGATCCTTCTGACCTCAGCCTCCCAAGTAGCTGGAACTATAGGCATGTGCTACTATGCCTAGCTAATTTTTACATTGTTTAAGAGACAGGGACTTGCTATGTTTTCCAGGCTGATCTTAAGCTCCTGGACTCAAGCGATCCTCCCATCTTGGCATTCCAAAGTGTTGGCATTACAGGAATGAGCCACTGTGCCTGGCCTGTTTCTCTTTCTTTCTTTCTTTCTTTCTTTCTTTCTTTCTTTCTTTCTTTCTTTCTTTCTTTCTTTCTTCCTTCCTTCCTTCCTTCCTTCCTTCCTTCCTTCCTTCCTTCCTTCCTTCCTTCCTTCTCTCTCTCTCTCTCTCTCTTTCTTTCTTTCTTTCTTCTTTCTCTTTTTCTTTTTTTTTTTTTTTGACGGAATTTCGCTCCTGTTACCCAGCCTGGAGTGCAATGACGCGATCTCGGCTCACCATAACCTCTGCCTCCTGGGTTCAGGCAATTCTCCTGCCTCAGCCTCCTGAGTAGCTGGGATTACAGGCATGCACCACCATGCCCAGCTAATTTTTTGTATTTTTAGTAGAGACTGGGTTTCACCATGTTGACCAGGATGGTCTCGATCTGTTGACCTCGTGATCCACCCGCCTCAGCCTCCCAAAGTGCTGGGATTACAGGCATGAGCCACCGCGCCTGGCCCTGCCTGGCCTGTTTCTTGATGAACACTTCACCAGGAGGCTAGGGACTTGGCTAAGTAAATTTGTACATTTCCTTCTAATCCACTAAAGATTAGAAGGGCATTATTCCTACTTTTTCTGGAAGGAAACCAAAGCTATGAGAATCAAGTAAATTGCCAAATGAACACAGTGACATTCAGATCTGACTCCAAAGCCCATGCACTTAAACATAGTATCAGACCATGTCAACTTTGGAAATATTTGTTATGGAAGAATTATCCAACTTTGGAGCTAAAGCTGTCTTTTATTTCATTCTGATGTTTTGTGCAGTAGGTTAGCTGGATCATAGAGTGTGCGTGTTACCTGTGTTACCGTGAGCTTCCCTCCACCATTGCAGTAGTTCTATTTTAAAAGAGTTAGGGTTATGCCCTGTGGCCACATGACAGGCAAAGGAGCTGCTTGGTTACTGACTTCCATGCAGTGGGATGCATTTGTTTGTGAGAGAGTGAACTCTGTTTACTCCAGCAAATCATTGACTGCTTGAATTCCTGGCATTGCATTTCAGAGATAGGACACTAATTTGGCTGGCCTATACATCATGTCCAAGAGCATGTTATAAATGCTCACATTTAGAAGGGAATATAAAGTGAGTAAAAGGTAATAATGCGAAGGTCACTGCTCACTGCGTTCATCACAGAATAGGCCATCCCTTGTATTTCCAATGATTGCTTTATCATGATAAAAAGTGAAAAGCAAATGAGTGTGTTGGATCTGAAATCTTCATTGAGGGCTGTAGAAAGGAGATCAGGGGTTCAAGAGAGCTGTGTTTCTCCTCCTGCCTTGAGTGTGAGGCAGATCCAAAGTAGGAGGATGATCGGCCAAGTACATTCTTTGTCTAGGTGTTGATGGTTCTTTTGTGCTTTGGCTAATTTAATGTTTGACATGTGTATGTTGGTCATTAGTCCAAAAAAGGGGCTATATATTTACGACTCTGCTATTTTTTGTTGTCAGTTTCTAGTGACTTTCCCCGCTTACAACTTCCAAGTTAAAGTGCTGTGCATTTTTATAAGAGGATTTTCTTTTTATCCAAGAGATAAGCTATGGGTTGCTAACTTGTGCTGTGGAATTTTTTTACTTGTTTACTTTTTTGAGGGATAATATACAGAAAAGTAAACATAAGTGTACAACTTAAATACTTTTTGGAAACGGAGTGCACTTAAGTAACCAGTTTCCAGATTGAAGCACAAATGATTGGCATCCTAGAGGCCCCCATCCTTTTTCAATCTCTTCTGTCATTCTCTTCCCACAAGGGTAAGCACCATCCTGACTTCTAGCAGGATATTGTTGTTTAGCCTGTCTTTGCGCTTTATATGAATGGAATGACACAACCTGTTCTCTTCTGCATTTGGCTTCTTTCTCTTTCCCTTGTTTGAGAGGTTGAACCTGTGGTTGAATGCAGTTGAAGGTTGTTTATTTTTGTTGTCATGTAATAATTCATTATGTGGATATACCATAATTTACTATTACAATGTTAAAGACATCGACACTGCTTCCAGTTTTTATTGTGATGAATAGTGCTGTGATAAATCTTTTCATATATAACATATATAAGCATTTATGTTGGGTGCATACCTAGGAATGGAATTATTAGGTCATAGAATATCATTGTATTTAGCCTGAATAGGTATTACCAAGTGGCTTAAGAGTTTAAGTAGTTATACAAAATTACATTTCCGCCAGTAGTGTGGGAGTTGATAAATTTTATTGTTTAGATGTCTTTTGGGAGGTGTGTGAGAGGTGCATGCTATTCTTAGGTTCATTTCAGTACATGTTTGTTTTCTGGAAAGGAATGATCATAGTTGCCTTGTTTATTGTTTGAAAGCTAAGTTAAAAATTTGTTTCCGTGTACTCACACTCTCCTTTTTCTTTCTCTTTGTATGTATGAATATATATGTGTTTTATGTTGATGTCTTCTACATACATATATAGATGTGTGTATTTTATTTTACAAATATACGACTGTGCCGTTAGACTGGACAGGCCACTTAGAAGTTTTCTCACTCAGGCTCCTACAAGTTTCTGAATTCACACTGATCCTGCTTAAGCGTCTCTAATGAGGGGAAGTGCGTTCTTTTAGGATGACCCCTCCCTTTGTTAAGTAGCACGTTGTTGCTTCTTCGACACTCTGGTGCCATCTGCCTCTTCTTAACTTCTCCCATAAATATCATGCCCTTCCTTAGGTAAGCAAAAAACCCATGATTCATATAATACAGTGAAGTTTCTTCAGGCAGAGGTTCATGGCTATTTTTTAAATGGCCACTTTTCAACATTTGCAGGGTCAAGGTCTCTGAGCAGTTTGCTCTGGGGAACCTGGATGAAAAACCTTATGGATGATGGGGGAAAAAAGCCCTCAGTGCAAAGTTGCTTCTATTTTAATTCCTATATTTAAGGTTGTTGTTTTTTTCTCTCCCATTTCCCAGTTTTTCTTTTATGAACAAACTGATGCCCTCTTATTGGGTTTAAAAATTATTTAAGATGGAAATACAAAAAATGCATATTATGTATTTCAAAATTAGATTAAAATGAATACAATAGCACTGCTTTTTATAGAAAACTGACAATTGCATTAATGAATGTCAATGAATGTAGAAAATCAATGCATTATACTTTTGTCGAATCAATGAATATGGAAGAATTCTGATGGAGATCATATGAGTGCTAAGAGGTTTGAACTTCCAGGTGATATTAATATTCATAGAACTTTAGAATAAAAATGAGTTTTTAATTATTTAAGGTTCACAGATATTACCTAATAGATATTTTCTTTCTTTACAGGCAAGAAGAGACTGATAGGAGAGTAAAAAATGTAAGTTACACTTACCTTAATGGAGCATTATAAGTGGCTTTCACTTCCATGTTCTATAAGAAGGCGGTGAATCTAAAAGTATACTCTATATCCCTTTTCTAATTAATTTTTTGCTGCAAACCAATCAGTTACAAACTGCAAATATCTTTAAATTTATGCCTTACAACAAATGGTTAGATTGTTCCTCTCCCACTGATAAGGGAGAACATGTGGTATTTGGTTTTCTGTTCCTGCATTAGTTTGCTGAGGATAATGGCTTCCAGTTCTCACCATGGCAAAGGACATGATCATGTTTTTTTAAAATGACTGCATAGTATTCCAGAGGTGAACAATGAGAACACATGGACACAGGGAGGGGAACAACACATACTAGGGCCTGTTGGGTGATGGGAGAGGGAAAGCCTCAGGATAAATAGCTCATGCATTTGGGGCTTAATACATAGGTGATGGGTTTGATAGCAAACCACCATGGCACACATTTACCTATGTAACACACCTGCACATTCTGCACATGCATCCTGGAACTTAAATTTAAAAACATTTGGGTTGAGTGGTATAAGAGGATAGGTTAGATTTAGGAAGCTGTTATGTGTTAGTAATATGGTAAAGTCAAGTAAACACATTTTCAGATTTTTATGGGAGTAAATCGGAAACTACCAATTCAGACTTCAAGGAAGAACACTAAATGTTTAAGGACTTTGGGTAATTCTTCAATGTAGACTCATACATCTTAAAATATTTTATGCAAATTGAAAGAATATCTAAAAATGTTGCAGCTTTATTTTTAAAACGCTTAATACCCTTATTAAAGAAGCTGAGAATTATTGACGCTTAGGTGATCATTCTGTAAATTCGATGAAAAAATATAGATTGCTTTAGAAGTTACATTTGTGTTTTCTCTTATTTTTTCCCTTTTCACATATACTAGTAGGGCATATGCATTAATACCTTTTGGAGTCTGGACTTTTGGTCTAAAAACTTTCTCAGAGACAGAATTTAGGAAGAAAAATTAAGATTTTTAATGACTTTCCCATAAACTTAAAAGAAGGTCTCCTTTTCAACAATAGAGTCATGTGTAGACTCACCTACATTTGAGCTTGCAATTGGTTGCTAATGGAATGATTGTTGTTCATGGATTTTTTTTTAAAGGTTTTGATAACATTGTACTGGCTGGGAAGAAAAGCACAAAGCAACCCCTACTATAATGGTCCCCATCTTAATTTGAAAGCATTTGAGAATCTTTTAGGACAAGTGTTGACGAAGGTAAGTAAACCACATCTGTGTGAGATTACTGCTGTAATACAGTACCACTACTCTCCCTTCCTCCTCTCTCCTTTTTCTTCTTCTCCTCTATAACAAAGTATGGCAACTCTGACCATCTTTGTCGCACTTGATAGGGCTGAGTAAAGAAATTGTTACTCATTTACTGGCTTTATATGTCACCACCAAGGAGTGAATTGAGTCTATTCCAGAGCAATTTCCAAGATGTAGAGACTTACCTTTTAATTCTACATAATTTGGTGACACATGCATTGGCTTCCTTCCCTACACACTTTATATAGCTAATGTATTTCTATACTCATTGTAAACTCAACCTGTAGTAGACAGGTGCTTCCTGGACTGTTAACATGCATGGAATGTACTCAATTTCTTTGCAGTAATGTGCTGTTGTCATAGGTGATGATCTTTAATGCCCACACTTTAATATCCCCACAGTTCTACCACGCTGCTCTGTTTCCTAAAGAGTAGTACATGGTGTGAACTGGAACTTCATACAAAGTTTTTAAGTTAGAATCCTTTGTTTTATACACATTTCTAGTCATGCATATTCTGGAATCAATGTGACAGCCTTTTGAATGCTTGAGGACCATTTGAAGAGAGCCAAGTGCTAGGACTGACCACAGTCCTGCCAAGTCTTCATTTATAAGATCTATATGGGAATACAAATTCTCTGGGTAGGGGTATTTATTCAGGGAAATTTGTAGGACTCAGAAGAGCCCTATTGTGTAGTCACAATAGTGTTTCATCATCGAATTAGTAGTCATTGTTTCATGGGTTTCTCTAATGGTTAAATGATACCACACAAGTAAGGCATTTAGTGTTAGTCTCTAGCACATTGTAAGGTTGCAATAAATGTTAGTTGCTGTGATTGGAAGATTGAAATTTTAGACCAGGATGAACATGATCACATTGCCTTGCATCTACCTTGATCTTTTTTTTTTGAGATGGAGTCTCGCTCCCGTCACTCAGGCTGGAGTGCAGTGGCGCCATCTAGGCTCACTGCAACCTCCACCTCCTGAGTTCAAGCGATTCTCCTTCCTCAGCCTCTGAAGTAGCTGGGATTACAGGTGTGCACCACCATGACTGGGTAATTTTTGCATTTTTAGTTGAGACAGGGTTTTGCCATGTTGGCCAGGCTGATCTCGAATTCCTGACCTCAGGTGATCCCCCCTGCCTTGGCCTACCAAAGTGCTAGGATTATAGGTGTGCATGAGCCACCATGCCCAGCCGCATCTACCCTGATCTTTAAATAATTTTGCCTGAGCCCTGCCACGATACAGCAATTCCTGTTCACCTCCCAAATGTAAGAAGTCAATAACACTCTGTTCAAATTCCTTGAATAAGTTAATTCAAGAAATAGCTGCGATATTAACATGCATACACATTGTACTAAGTGTTGAGAAAACACTTGTGAGAGATTACCTAGCCTCAGAAAGCACGATTGTCTGAGATAGATGAGCACAGTGGTCACTGCAATGAAGAATGGTGAGGCTCTAATGGAGGAATTTCAGGGGGCTTCGAACATAGGGAGAGCCTTGCCTTACAGTTATGTCAGCTAAGAAAACTTTTGGTTAAAAACTGTGTGGGACTTTGACTTATGTACTAGTGCTCTCTTTATAGCTTTTGGTCCTTTGAATGACAGTCTGACTCAGGTTGAATAATCCTAATACAGTGTCTATGCCAGGAATGCTTTGTCAAAGCCTGTTTCCTGTTACCAGTTTCAAAACCAGAGGGAATAGATGAAGACCTTATGGTAGATAAAACTATCATTGTGGTTCTATTATTCTATTATAATAAAGTGGGGGGGGGTAGCTGTGGAGGCATGTGACCATATCACTGGTTTTGCATCAGTTCTATTAAAATCAAAACCAATGTGTTCATCAGGCTTTTCCCATTTAACCAGATAATGCCTAAAAGCGAACATAAAATGCCAATTAAAAATCACTGGTGTAAGTTGTAACACCTCAGTCATCTTCTAAGTTGGTGGTGACTCATTTTAGGTGACTCATCAGGGTGCCTCCTTAAAAGTCAGGCGCCAGGGTCAGACAGGTTATTTTAAAACTGGAGTGACTGTTATCAATAACTTTAACATTTATGAGGTCAAAAATCCATCTTGTGTGTTGAACTCTAAGGCCTTAGCAAGTACATGTCTAAGAAACCTGATGGATCTAAACACTTAAATTAAAAAAAATCTATCTGTATTTGAGAAGAATTTTGGCAGCACCAGCGCTAGGCCTGGCTTCCCCATCAGTCTGGAAGTAGCAGGATGTAAGGTAGGCACTTGCATTTTCATGACAGGATGTCAACTCTAATTCCAGGGTTTCTGGCATCTAAAGCGCATGAAACCTCCCTGAAAGCTACTAGACCTTATTGATGCTCCAAACACTTGTCAAACAATTAAATCATGAGTTGACAGTATTACATCAAAAGTATGCCTGAGACAGCTGCTAATTAATTATTCACTGCAAACACTCTTTGGCTTTTTTATATGTTGAAAATATTTATAATTAAAAGTTGAAAGAAGAGTACAACAAATACCCAGGTACACAACATCAGGTTCAATTATTATAATTTTTCTATACTGGCTTTATCTACATAGGTGTTTATCCATCTATGTTTTTACTTAACCATTTTAATATAAATTACAGGTGTATTTCTCTCCCAAATACTCAATATACATCTCCTAAGAATATAAATATTCTTCTATATAGCTACAGCATTTATTATACTTAAGAAAACTCAGATATTCCCCATTATCTAATATTCAATTGATATTAAAACGTTCTTAATTATCTCCAGCTATTTTTCATAGAACTTTTTAATCTGAATCATGACTTAAGGGTCACATAATAGTTTGATTGTTAGTAATTACTAGGTTCTTTAAACTGTCTCTATATTAGTAAGCTCATCTGAAAGCAACATTTCTGATTTTTTACTGTGACAAAATTATCTTCACCATCTTAAAAAATTGTAGTTACATTGATAAGTATAAGTCAGGGCTATGCCATGAGCATTGTAAATTTTACTCACATCCTATTGTTTAAAAAGCCAGGTTATATTTTTGTCACTAGCATTCATAGAAGAATGTTAATTAAAAGTGTTTATCTTGAGTAAGTTCTATGTAATTCGCAAACCTACAGTTAACATCATTTGTGATGTTTCTATGTATCCTTTATTTGAGCCAAACAAATAATTAATTTAGGTCCAGAGAAAATAAGCTTTATATGTGGCAAACAAGTATGCTTCTCAATTCAGCAGGAAGAATAACCCAGCTGCCAGGACCTCAGAACTAGGTTGTGTAACTAGTGAAAGTAAATGAATTCTGTGGAATGTATGCCCACTTGCTCCTTTTTATTTTTCTGGGGAAGGAAGTTAAATAACTTCAGTTGTTAAGGTTTTATGTTATATAAGCCATCCCAAATGTTTCCTGGAGATAGACTGAATATAATCTTGCTGGTTAATCTCCTTTTGGTTGGCTAAGTTAAGGTTAATTTGTCTCTTTGACTCTTTTCATATTTATTGCTAGAGAACTGTGATAATTGATTTTAAAATTTCAATGTTATTCTGAACTTCCATTAAATGAGTTCCCTTCCTTATTTTTAAGTAGAACATAGGTACTAGTTTATTAAATAATATTGGATATCTCCTTATTGTTGCTTTGAATATTGAATACCTCCTTATTGTATCAGTTGTGGGGAAACAATTATAGGTTTATTTTCTGTTTTTCATCAGCTTTTTTCTATGTCTGACAAACCTCATTGCCTCACATGTCAAATGAAGCCCAACTTAAATTAGGCAAACAAGCAAATAATAACCAATTATATTTTTTGGAAGTTTATTTAACTTACTGTTCTTTAAAACATGTTTTCTTTAGGCACTCGAAGACTCCAGCTTCCTGAAAAGAAGTGGCAGGGACAGTGGCTACGGTGACATCTGGTGTCCTGAACGTGGAGAATTTCTTGCTCCTCCAAGACACCATAAGAGAGAAGATTCCTTTGAAAGCTTGGACTCTTTGGGTTCTAGGTCATTGACAAGCTGCTCCTCTGATCTCACGTTGAGAGGGGGACGTGAAGGTGTGCTGTGCTTTTGGCTGTCAGTCTATTTGTTTACATATCAAGGGAGAACTGGGAACAGGACAGAGTAGAAAAATGGAGTGAAAACTAGGCAAAAATTTCACTTAGAAGTGGATTTTTATAAAGACGCAGGTATAATTGGGGGTTTTGTTATTTTTTCCTTCTTCATTGTGGTGATAGTTTCATTTTTGAAAAATTTCACTTCTGGAAAGTACTGTGGCCTGTTTCATCAGTGGTAATCTATCCTGGCTCTTCTCTCTCCAGATTCAGGCTTAATAATCTGTGTTCATGAGTTCTATAAGCTGATGTATCTGAACATAAAAAGGAATATAAGATTCTGCAAAAAAAAAAAAAAAAAAAAAAAAAGTCTCTTCTATTTACTAACTTTCATCCTTGGCTTTTTTCAAAAGATTAAAAGAATTCTCTTAAGCAAAAACAAGAGAAATATTTTCGCAATGATTTCTATAGATGAGGAAATGATTGCTATCTGTCATGACAGAATGTTATGTTAAACTCTGTAGACTGAGTAATGTACCACCACCTAATGTGCTGGTGGAAATCCTCCTTTGGTCCTTTCAGGTTCAGAGCTAACCCAAGACAGAGCAAGTGTGAAAGGAACATGTTAGAGACATTCTGTTGTGGGAAGGAAACTTCTTTCAAAATCCCAAGCTATGGTCAGTTGAGTTATTTCAACGTACATCTTAATCCTGTGGCTGTTGGGTATAGTGTCAGCAATTTATGACTGTACATCTCCAGCTATTCAGATTCGACTAGATTGAAATCACAAAGTTTTTTCTGAAATATTTCTGTGCTTCTGCCAACACCAATGTGAACACATTGAGTTCTGGCTGTGAATTTGTGCTTGATTGTTAGGGATTTTACATTGCTCGTGTATCTGGAATCTTTTATATTTCTGGATATTTTTTCCTAGCATATCTATTACAAAAAAATATCAAAAATCCGCAAACTTAAAATAATTCTACAGTGAACACACATGTATTCACTGCCTAATTCTACCATGTTTTATTATGCATACTTTATCTTAAACCTGTCTCTCTTTTCTCTTTCCCCCTCCCTCTTTCATTCTTGATTACAATGTAATCATCTTATTTTTTGAGGCATTTCAGAGTATATTACACCTGTCCTAAATACTCCAGTATGCACATCATTAACTGGACTTTATTCTTTGTTTTATGTCTGATGTAAAACTTACATAAATATGACATACTAGGAATTTGTTTTTCAAAAAAATCAATCAACAATTTATTAAGCATGGTAACAAAAAAACCTGAATTCTTTATCTTTCAGAGTAGTAGTAGTTTTTAAAAATGCAAAATAAAAAATGTGAAAGGCTACGTAAGCATTAATCTTTATATCACTGCCACATGTATTGGCTATTTGCTATCTAGGTGTGACATTTTCATAGCCCAGATGACGATTACAATACGTTTAAGGAAATGAATCTGAGTATGTGATTCATCTGAGTGGTTAGAGCTGTAAAAGCAGAGGCTTACATTCTGAACTTGTGTATTTCTTTGTCCTGATGGAAAAACCTACTCCATGTAATGATTGACTTTATATCTAGCTAAGGAATAAAAGGAGAAAAGTCAGGGGGCGTGTGGGAATATGCAGGCTTCAGTCAGTTCAGACGCAGTGGTTTGCCCAGTGGTTGGAGGCTAAGTCATCTTCTCAGATCCTTGTTGGATGGGCACCTATACATGTAACCAAAAGCAGAGGGCCACTGTCACATCCCTTCCTGATCTTGGAAAGGGGCTGCAGACCCTGTTTAAAGAGTGCAGACATGAAGTCTTGAAAATTATAACTAAGCAGGGAAAAAAATGGAGGCACCAGGATGATAAAGCTCTTTTGTGACCGGTGTGTTAAAATTCTGCTGCTGCCCTCTAGATGGTAGTCCTAAATTGACGAACACTATAAGTAGGATAATACTTTGAGGATAACAGAATTGCAATGTCACATTCTCTAGTTTTATATGAAAACTCATATCAAGAATGATATTTTGGGGGAAAAATCCTCTTCAGGGCACCATACTGGACCCCCCCAAAAAAGACTTTATCTTAAAAATTAAAAATAGGCTATTTGTGACTTAAAAATTCCATGTGTATAGATTTTGGCAAGAGTCGTTGATATACTTATTGGAAATGAGAGATAAATGTCTTACTTGTTTAGAAGGTGTTAAAAAGAAAGCACCAGATTATTGACTACTACTCCTCATGGTCATAACTGCGTTTACTTTCTCTCTTTTGCTAAGACTTTACTCTCCTTTTACTCTGTCCCTGCTTTACAGCTGTATGTTAAGCCACTTCCTGTAGACCCTTCTCATTGTGATTTATTGTAGCTTCCTGCCAGGCTGGAGGGAGGAGAAGAGACTGCCTTTAACTCAGGTTAACCCTGCAGGTACTCCACCTGCTGAGAGCTTAGAGCTGCCAGGCTCTGTGTACAGCCAGGCCGGGAGAGAACCCTGGTGAGAAGTAACACTTCCAAACCTTGACAAATGCACAGGAGGCAGGAAGAGAAGAAGGGCAAGAAAGAAAAAACTTGGCTTGGATCTGTAGTGTTGTTCTCTCCTCTTTAAAAGAGTAGATTTCTTCTTCTTCTTTTAAGAAAGCAGATTACTATTTGTATATCTCTGACCTTGAGGGGTATCAAAGAGTATTCTTTTGAATTTGTGTTTGAATGATGTTGAATCACAGTACCAGGTTCCCAGTGTAATTTCCATGGCCACTTAGAAGAAACTGTCAGTTCTGTGCTCTCATTTGGGCATAAGAGTTGAGATTCCTTTGGAACTTAGGAAGTCATCCAGTTCAACCTCCTAGTTAATGTGTGACTCCGGTTCATAATATCTATCCAGACCCTTTGCAAGCCTGCTTTTTTTTTTTTTGTTCCTTCTCTTTCTACATATTTCCTGATCTCTCCCCTCATGTAAACGATAGATAGCTGCATGCCTTATTTTAAATTACTGAGTTCTCCTAGAATTATTTTTGCATGTTGTTTTAAGTATCTGTGACTCCATTGCTAGATTTTATTTCTATGTATTACATCAACAAATCTTATGGAAAATCATGGAGGCAGAGACTGAAGAAAAGGGGCTCACTAGTAAAATAGGACTTTTTCTGCTTTGAGCCCACAACAGCTAAAGAATGTACTGCATGTGCCTCCAGTATGCAAAGCAAGTTCCTCCTAATGGATCTTATCGCAACTTCGTGACAAATTTCTAAAAATAATCCCTGCAGTTAGCAGTGGCAGCACTGGGTTTCTAAGGCAAAGAAAAAGCAGGCGCGCTGTGTGGGTTTCAGTTAGGCGAATAATCTGGAGAGTAAAGCTAATTCTTGTGCCTCCTTTATAGGTTTTGAAAGTGACACAGATTCTGAATTTACATTCAAGATGCAGGATTATAATAAAGATGATATGTCGTATCGAAGGATTTCAGCTGTTGAGCCAAAGACGGCATTACCCTTCAATCGCTTTTTACCCAACAAAAGTAGACAGCCATCCTATGTACCAGCACCTCTGAGGAAGAAGAAGCCGGACAAACATGAGGATAACAGGAGAAGCTGGGCAAGCCCAGTTTATACAGAAGCAGATGGAACATTTTCAAGGTATGGAGATGGGATGTGATTTTTGAGTGTCATATGCTTTTTCAATGTGGTGGGATGTTAAATGTGGTAAAAAAGAATGGCTCTTAAATGTGTTTCCTAGATAATACGTTAAGCTTGACTAGTGAGAATATTTTTCATCCCTCTATTTTTAGTTATACATATCTCAAAGCTATTTCTTCAGTTTTAGAACGTCAGCATAGGATTTGCTGGGTCTTTTTTTAGATGCATGACTTCAGTTTATTGGTATTTTTCAGCTTACCAGATAATTTATGTTGCTTATGATGAACCCTGCCATGTTATGTTTTTCCTTTTTTGACTGATATTAGAGGACATGAAAAGAATCCTTTAATTTCTCAGCAAATTAGCAGAACAGAGTGTGGTTTTGCAAATCCAGCTTCCTATCACAGGGCGGCATGTGGTTTTGAAAGTGGTTCGGACTCTGAGGATGAACGAAGGTTTCCTGATGTAGTTTTGGATGACTTAGCCAACCGTAGATTCCAAGTGAAAAAGAGGCCCCAGAGTTTCATCTCGAAAATCACCTCTCCTAACTTTTGTCTGCAAATATTTTCTCCTGCTGATGTGTTCACCACTGGGCTATATGGACTGATGAGGTCAGAAACACTTGTCCTGGATCTGGCTGTCTATCATGCTTCTGATTTTAATTCAGAAAGTAACACCCCAAATCGTTTGTAATGTACCTCTTTCTTTTAACACAGCTTCTAATGCAGTATCTTTGGCCCATGTGTATCTAGCTATCCTTGAATTAAAATGAGATGCTGTTATCATAACTTTGTCCTAGGAACTGTGGTGGTGACAGGAATGGAAACGAATTTGCTTTGTTCACAGTGGTGTGACCTTTGTGAGCCAGAAAGCATGCTGTTTGTGTTCTGTGTCACAAATGCTCATACAGTCTCTTAACCGGTTGGATGTTTTGAACAGTAATCAGAGGAGGACTTGGGGCACCAGTGTGGAGAACTGGCCAACTGTACAAGGAACTTCAAAGTCCTCTTGTTATTTGGAAGAGGAAAAAGCAAAGACAAGGAGCATACCCAACATCATAAAGGATGATCTTTATGTGCGCAAGCTAAGTCCAGTCATGCCAAACCCAGGGAATGCTTTTGATCAGTTTCTTCCCAAATGTTGGACCCCAGAAGATGTGAACTGGAAAAGAATAAAAAGGGAAACTTATAAGCCATGGTATAAGGAATTTCAGGGATTCAGGTTTGTCATTGTGCATGTTTCTGTTACACCAGTGTTCATTGAAAACCCAGCTGGTGTTCTCTGTGCCTGGTTTTTTTTTTTTTTTTTTTTTTTTTTTAATGAAAATAAGAGAGACCGAGAAAGTCTAATTAGTCCTCTAGCATCTATAGAACCTATATAATGGAAATGAATTTCTGTTTAAATTTAAACCTGAGGACCTGGATCTGAAAAAATCCTGTTCCATCCATAGCCATTGCATGGCATTATTTTTAGTAGTTCTGCTTTTCTCCAATTCCTTGTCTCATTCCCTCCTCCCTTCTTTTCTCCATGTCACTCACAGTAAAAGGAATTCAGACTCTGAGGATGAGGACTCAGGTTCTGACAGAAGCGCCACCATTTTTAGTAGAGCACGAAAGGCGGAGCATAGGCTAGACGGCAACTGCCAAAGACCTTCACTCTTGCTGGAATTAGCTACCAAACGGGCTGTAAAACCGCTGGACTCCCATGCAGCCAGGAGAAGCAGTAGTGCTTCGGATGAGCCCAGGTGCCCCTTGTCTGTATGAGCCTGCCTGCCGGGGGTCTGGCCTCAGACACCCCTCAGCCCGCTTCTGCTGCTCCATTAACCTGGGACCTGATTGCACTGAATCAGGAAACCTGACTCACTTAGTGTTCTTAGTACAAAAGCATAATGTATAACATGCTGCTTTCTGTGCCACTATGTCAGCTTGGAAGTCTGTAGGATTCAACCATTCTTCTTTAGCACAATAATGTGTGAGACAGGATATATTTACATGTAGCAGTTCCTTTGAGAAGCCAGTTCAAAAAGGCTTGTTAGAAAGTTTACCTAATTTTACAGTTGTGCTGTGTGTGGAGATGTGGAGAAAGGAAGTAACTTTTAGGTAAAGACTGGGAAAGGCAAGTCTAGGGAAAATACAAAGGGAAGATTCCTTGAGCTCTTTTATAAAACTTCAGAGCAGTCTATTTTCCCTTTTTCCTGCTGATTATATGTACCTATTGCATAAAGTGCATGATGCCAAACTTATAAACTTTTAAAGATTATTCCTCCTGTTCAGAGGGAACTTAGGCCACTGTGGCAAATGGAATGAGAAAGGAGTACCAGGGGCCAGGCACGGTGGCTCATGCCTGCAATCCCTGCACTATTGGAGGCCAGGACAGGTAGATCGCTTGAAATGAGGAGTTTGAGACCAGCTTGGCTAAAATGGTGAAATATCATCTCTACAAAATTGAAAAATTCGCCAGCCATTGGAGGGAATACCTGTAATTCCAGCTACTCGGAAGGCTGAGGGATATGAATCACTTGAACCCAGGAGGCAGAGATTGCAGTGAGCTGAGATCGCACAACGCCACTCTAACCTGGGTGACAGAGTGAGGCTCCATCTCAAAAAAAAGGGGGTACCAGGAAGTGGCTCTCCTGGCTTAGTCCACTCTCCAGCCGCATCAGTGGCCTCTGTGGTGCCCAGCTTTCCTGAGAAGTATAATCTGCTCTTATTTCTTTAGAGAGTATCCAGAAAAATCCTGGGTGTTGGATTAAATGCTAGTCTGTCTTCTTAGCAAGAGTCCTCCCCAGTGGTCCTCTAAAATAATTTATTCTCAGCAACTGGCTAGCTGGTCTGCTAATTACCTTTTCTTCCCAAACTTAATAAGATTCTCTTTCCTTTTTCCTTTCTGTGCATCAGTCAGTTTTTACTGCTTCAGGCCCTCCAAACATACTCTGATGACATCTTGTCTTCCGAAACACATACCAAAATTGATCCCACTTCTGGCCCAAGGCTCATAACCCGCAGGAAGAATCTCTCTTATGAACCGGGCTATAAAAGAGATGACTTCGAGATGGCAGCCCTGGTTCCTGACTTAGAGAATGATGATTTCTTTGTCAGAAAGACTGGGGCTTTCCATGCAAATCCATATGTTCTCCGAGCTTTTGAAGACTTTAGAAGGTTCTCTGAGGAAGATGATTCTGTAGAACGAGATATAATTTTACAGTGTAGAGAAGGTGAACTTGTTCTTCCGGATTTGGAAAAAGACGATATGATCGTTCGCCGAATTCCAGCACAGAAGAAAGAAGTGCCGCTGTCTGGGGCCCCAGATAGATACCACCCAGTCCCTTTCCCTGAACCCTGGACTCTTCCTCCAGAAATGCAAGCAAAATTTCTCTGTGTACTTGAAAGGACGTGCCCATCCAAAGAAAAAAGTAATAGCTGTAGAATATTAGTTCCTTCCTATCGGCGGAAGAAAGATGACATGTTGACGCGTAAGATTCAGTCGTGGAAACTGGGAACTACGGTGTCTCCCATCAGTTTTACCCCTGGCCCCTGCAGTGAGGCTGACATGCAGAGATGGGAGGCCATCCGGGAGGCCAGCAGACTTAGGCACAAGAAAAGGCTGATGGTGGAGAGGTCAGAGTCTGTTTCTGCAAGGATTTTGCTTGTAATGGATGGTCTTGCGTGACTTTCCTCATGCGAGAAAGCAGCTCATCGTGTTGCTCAACTCTGCATGTCGCGTGCCATTTTGAAGCATCCCATAAAATTTAATTTGCTTAAGAAAACCCTCAGTCATTTTGTAGAATAAGTGCAATTCCATATTTGCATATCTCTAAATCACTTATTTAGGCCTGTTTACGACTATATATACATAAAGGTTGCCTTTCACTTAAGCAGTACTGTGGCACTATTCAGCAATATGAAGTTTCATAAAATGTTTTCCAACTTACATTTACAGATGTCTCATGTTCAGGCATTTCTGTAACAGTCTGGCTATAGTTTGGTTTAATGCGTTGCTCACATTTTGGAATATCTGATTTTTGGTGGGGGAGAGTAAAATTTTCCCTTAAAATATGGCATTGCAAATTTCATCTAACTTAATTTTTGTTTTTGGCCTAGGTTTCTTGGACTGTCAATTTGTAACTTATTTTTATTTATAAAGTTCAGTGCAAACTTTGACATTAAAATGCATGGATGGTATTTGTGGTCTGCTGAATTTTATATGTATGTAATCATGGCCATTTTGATAGTTTATATTATGCAACTTGCCTTTTTGATGAATGTTCAGTTTGTTGAACATAGGAAAGGACAAATCTAATTAGGTTGAATAAAATTAGAGGATCCAAATCTAATTTACCCATCCTTTTCTTATGGATGCAATAGCTGACAGTCAATTGAGGAAATTCTTCATTTTGCTTAATCTGAATTTCTTAAGATAGGAAATTGATGAGAACTTGAGACATGATCAAGAATGTGATGGAAGAAGTGACCTTTTGAGATTTGTCCATCTCCAATTAGATTGTTAAGTAAAAGACATTAAATGTTTACAAACTAATACAACTGGGAAAAATGACTTTTTAATTTTTGGTTTTCTGGTTTCTTAGACTCTTTCAAAAGATTTATGGTGAGAATGGGTAAGTTACATGGTTCACAGTAAAATATCTGTGCATATTGTTTGTTCTTTGTTTAACTTACTGTATTTCTGGCATGGCATGTCACTAAATGGGGATGCTGTGTGCTATGCATGAAATTTTTAAAATGGGAAATCTTTATTTTGCAACCTAATGGTAATATTTCTGTGTCTCAGTGCCCAGTGCATGACAAATAGTTTGTTTTGTTAGAAATTTAAAATTCAGCTTCATCCCTTTGTTTTTTTTCCTTTTTAAAAATTTAATGAGTTAATTAAAAGTAACAGAAACACTTGCCTAAGACTAGGTATATATATGTATTTTGGTATTTGATTGCTACATAGAGTAAAATCCTGATTTGTGGATGCTAAAGCAAAAATTACTATATTTTAGAGAATCTGTGATAGAAAAAGGATATGAGTATTTACTTCAAGTTTAGAATACACGCAGCTGCCATATCCATATAATTGGCCCCCTGGGAACTTTGTTAGTACGAAAGCATTAATCTTCCCTCAGTGGTATTTGGAAGTATTATATTTTCAAGAGTCCTGATCAGGAAAAAAAGTTATAACATAGCCATGTTTATAGTACAAAATTGGCCTTCAAAAACTGCAAAAATCTTTGTAATTTCTAGTATCGTTGCAAAAACTACTTTTGTTGTTGCTGTTGTTTTTGAGATGAAGTCTTGCTCTGTTGCCCAGTCTGGAGTGCAGTGGCACAATCTTGACTCTCTGCAACCTCCGCCTCCCAGGTTCAAGCAATTCTCTTGTCTCAGCCTACCGAGTAGCTGGGACTACAGTTGCGCACCACCACGCTTGACTAATTTTTGTATTTTTAGTAGAGACGGGGTTTCACCAGATTGGTTAGCGTGGTCTTGAACTGCTGATCTCAGGTGATTCACCCCCTGGGGCCTCCCAAAGTGCTGGGATTACAGGCAAAAACTACACTTATTAGATAAATCATTTATTCATTCTTAGTACAAAATCACAAGGTGGCTATATCGTAATATTTTCCATCAAACTTTGTAACTTTGTGAATCTAAGGGCTAACAGTATTTGAGCAAGAGGAAGAACGTTAAAGGATGACAAGTATTTTAATCTGCTCAAGCCTCAGTAGCTAAGTATCTCCCCTTACAAGGATTTACTTCAAATATAAGAATCTCTAGTTTTGATAGTTTTTTGTAATTTTGATGATTCAGAAATCTTGGAAGCTACTAAACGTGAAGCGGTATAACCATTCTAGATGCTGAAGATGTAACTGAGCCATAGGCAACAAATTGCAAATACTTGTTAACCACTGATTTCTTTCTTTTTTCTTTTTTTTTTTTTTTGAGACAGAGTCTCATTCTGTGCCCAGGCTGGAGTACAGTGGCGCAGTCTTGGCTCACTGCAACCTCCATCTTTTGGGTTTGAGCAATTCTCCTGCCTCAGCCTCCCAAGTAGCTGCAATTACAGGCATGTACCACCAGGCCTGGCTAATTTTTGTATTTTTAGTAGAGACAGGGTTTCACCATGTTGGTTAGGCTGGTCTCAAACTCCTGACCTCAAATAATCCACTCACCTCAGGCTCCTAAAGTGCTGAGATTATAGGTGTGAGCCACCATGTCTGGCCTAGCCACTGATTTTAAAAACCAGGGTCCCTGCATGCTTTCCCTGTGCCATGCTAAGGCACATTATCCCCTGTCCAGCTCATCCGCATGACGCTTAAGCATTTGCTACACTCAAGTCATAGGAAAGCTGTTTTAACTTGATTATAATCTCTTTGCAGCTTTAAGCATGTTGAATTGTAACTTTCAGAGTAATTTTCATTTGTAAATTAAATAACTTTATAATGTAAGCAGCTCTCAAAAATAGTTGCTTTTCCTAAAGGGAATACACATACCCAGAGTACAAGTATGTGATGGGAATGTCAAAATGTACAATCATTTTGATGGCTGGTTGTGTTCCCCTTAGTGAGGGTAAGTTATATAACTGAGTTAGAGAAGAAAAGAGAAACCTAAAACCAAAGCTTGAAAAGCTAAATATTTTTCTGGATTAGGGCTGCAAATGTTTTCTAACCCAAGATAGTTGTTTGGATAGTACAATATTTGTTTTAAAGGCTGTTCTGCATGCAGTTTAATGCCAAGGTAACTACATAAATAAAGCAAGATTGTCTGTAAACGGAGACTGAATAATGCATGACATGTCAAACACTGAAAAGTATTATAATATGAATGTGTCTTCAGAAAACTCAAGTGTGTTTCGGACCACTTGAAGTCAAATAAGTCAAATCTGTAACAAAGGATTTTTCTCTGTAGTCTATCAGTTACTAGTGTTTTTTTTCTTTTCTTTTCTTTTTTTTTTTTTTAAGGAGATAGAGTCTTGCTATGTTGCCCAGGCTGGTCTTGGGCTTCTGGGCCCAAGCATTCTTCCTGCCTTGGCCTCCCAAAGTGTTAGGAGTACACATGTGGGCCATCATGCCTGGCCTACTGGTGCTTTTCTTAAGTCGATCTGCTGTAGTAAAAATAGAAATTTAAATTGGATTAAGTGTAGGCTTTTAATCTAGAACTTATTTCATGTTTATACTGGGTGATATGTCCCTGAACATAATGTACGTTGTCAAGCCTGGCATAGTAACCTGGGAAAGAATTATTGCTCAACATGCTGTCACGGAAAAGTAACTGCCTGTAACATGAATGCTTTCTTTTTGGTAGGGACTGGGTTAAAGAGAAATGTGCAATATCTTTTGAAGTCTGAGACTGTTAATTTCTGGCTTGCTTTTTATTTAGCATTTAACACCTGTCAGTTTGTCTGTTTATGTTTAGTAAGATGCTTTGTATGTGGTTGTTATTTCTTGTATGTACTTTTGTCTTGCATGGTTTTATGTCTGTATAGTTTCATGAAACTTGAAAATCTGGGTATGTGTTTTGTCAGAGAAATTAATGACCAAATTTTTGTAAGGATATGTAGTAATAATCTTGTATGTGATTCAGCTATTGAATCTGCTGCCAGTATTAATAGGAAATGAACACTGATTCCATTTTTTCACTTATGAGTTTAGCCAAAAGAGTCTGTAGAATTATAAAGCCATGGGACAGCAAAAAAGAAGAGGAAAAAAGCCACTGTGAGTTATTTCTAAGGATTTCCCTCCATCCCCCCAGAGACATTTGGCAGCATCTGGAGACATTTTTGATTGTCCCACTGGGTGGGTGGAGGTGTGTGTGCTACTGGCAACTAGTGCCTTCGTAGCCAGTGATGCTGCTGAATGTCCTGCAGTACACAGGAATGCCCTACAACAAAGAGTTTTCTGGCCCCAAAATGTCAACAGTGGTGCTGTTGAGGAACCCTCATTGAGACTCTAAATGAAAATATCTTCATCACATTGCCTTTTTATTCTAGTGAATGGTAATTCCAAAGCCTCTTGCCCAAGTTTTAGCACTGATTGCTTTTCAGACGATTCCTATAATACCTGAGGGAAATATACTTAGAGGTACATAAGGTAGTATATTCCTGTCTCCCTCTGAAAGTCCAGGATCCCTAACCTTAGTATCATGAAATTTCTGTTTGCTGTGTGAGGCTATCCATGATTTTATATTTGAGGAAATATGCTACATGCTGGTCCTTTTTGATCCCCTACTCCTCTATTACTCCTCTTACTCCTGGTGTAAGCAGAGGAGCATAGTAGGCAGTCCACATAGTGGAAGAAGAGAGTAAGACTTAGCGACCTTATTTTATGATTGACACCTTCTTCCTTAAACTTCACATTTTTCCTCAGTTTTCTCCCAAATGCTATTTTTAAAAAATTCTGTCCAACAGAAAGGCAAGATGCTAGATGTGTATTTTTTTGGAAAAAATCCAGTTGCAGTTCTAAATTGGAGACCTTCCAAATAAGGAAATACAAATGAAGCAGGACTTGTCAGAGACATGTGGTTTGGCATCTAATCACCTTTCATTCAACAAAACATACTAGAGCTGTGCAGTCCTTCATAGTTTTCCCAAACAGTTTTTCTGATGCTATCTTTGGTGCTTATCTCAAATCTGTGAGGCTGACAGATAGGGATGTGGAGATAGAGAAACAAATAGTGCAGCTTTCCCAAGGACATGTGACTTGTGAGTGGTAGAACCGGACTAGGGCTTTGCCTCTGAGGTAATTCACATAGACTGCTTGGCGAGGTTGCTGGCACAGAAGCTGAATATTATGCCATTAATGCTGATAAGGGAGGAAATAATTCTTTGTGATCTGGCCGAGAGACTCCTTTCTCTGCTCCAAAAGTTCTAGATTGTATCATTGTGGTCTGCGGGGACCTCTCTGATTTGAAGCAGCTTAAAGAGTTTGCTTGTGGGAGATCCCATGTAATCATGTTCGCTTTAAAGAAAGTTAGTGTATGGCCCAGATGGTTTAAAACATGCAACCCACACAGCCATATCCAGTTCTCATAATCCCTTCCTCACTTAGCAGGTGAGAAGCCGGGGCTAGGAAGTGAACTGATGTGTGTTAGGTTGGGGTGAAAATTGGCACCATGGCTGGGCTTGCAGCCCTCTGCCTCCTGGCTTATTGTGGTGCCTGGCTCCAGCTGCTATCCAATGTATGCAGCCTCAGTGTGGCTAACTTTATGTACCCTTGGGAGTGAACTGTGCTCACATTATGCCTTACACAGTGACTTGTCTACTTCAGAGTTATTTGGTTCACTTTGTTCAGATTAAGGACTGCCTGTGTGCCAGGCTCTGCTTTGTGTTGGGGGTACCCAGGAGGAGGTTGCAGCCTCTACCATTGAGAAAGACATTTCACAGGAATTCACCTTAGCATTGCATGATGCAGGAGGATTGGGCCAAAGGAGAGCACCCCTGGGAGATCCTGGGCCTTGTAGCCTTTCTCCCATCACAAGATTATTAAAGTATTCATTAGCATTCCTTTGTTTTTTTGTCCTGGGGTTTATGTAATCTCATGTGTTGAGTGTCTAGATACCCTCATGCCTGGTTCTTGAAAAATTTGTCCTGCCTCTTCTTAGTGAGTCTGTCATAGTATTAGTTCAAATAGCCTCATTCTTCACAGTGTGACTTACGTGAATTTATATTCTCAAATTCACACAAATCAGTTTTATAAGTAGTTATATTTTATATTTTATAGTTAGATATATTATATTAATAGATTCATCTATATTCATATATGTCCTCATATAATCTCTCTATATAATTTATTTCTTAATAGTCTTTAATAAATGCTATAAAACTTTCTTCATAGAGCTGGGGATAGCCATAATAATCTTACAAAAAGAATTAGAAACATTTTAAGTATAGTAAATTTTACTTGATTAAATATGGGAAACCTACCTCATTCTTATCACAGATATTGAATGAGGATATCCTACACACCTTGTACTGCTAATGTGTTTTCCTCGGAAGCAACACATGACTTGTAATGAAGAGAATCCAAACACGCACATGCGTACACACGTGCACTGTTCAAGATATAAGGCTGAGGGTTTAGTACCATGAAAAAGGTGTAGCTGAAGCTGTAGAGGGGTTGAGAGGAGGGACAGAGAAGCTTTGATATGGAAGAGCTGGGAAGACTTCACCAAAGTGCTGAATATTATCTAGATCATTAATTTAACTCATGTATCCAGCAGGTCTGGGCTCCCTTTCAGGTACAGGTGATGTACCAGCAAACAAATTAAAAATTCCTGCTTTATAATCTTACAGGGCAAGGCAAGTGATATGTAAATAAATGTGCATTTCTGATGGCCAGAAATGCTGTGGAGAGAAAGGGCAAAGGGCAAAGGACAGGTTGGGTCGGGGGAGAGGAGCATTGATTATTTCTGGTAAGGTGGTCAGAGAAGGAAATACAGAGGGCACATTTAAGCAGATGCCTGGAAGTGAGAGAAAAGCTGTGTGGATATCTGATGAAGAGCATTCCAGGCAGATGAAGAGTAGGGAGAAAAGCAGGAGGTGTAAACAGGGCAGGGAGACCAGTTGGCTGGAGCAGAGGGAGTGGAAGCATGGCGCTAATGAGCACAGAGAGGGAAGTAGGAACCAGGGATGGTGGACCTCTTAAGTTTTGGAAGAACCTGCCTTTAATTTAGTGAAATGGGAAGAAAGGAGTGGGTGCTGAGTAGAGGTATACCATGATCTGAGTGCAGTCGGAAAGGACCTCTCTGGCTGCTGTTGGGTAGGAAGGGGTGGGTGAAGTGATGTCATTTTTATAATAATTGTAATAATCCAGGTAGGAGGTGATATGTTAATTGTTACAATCCAGGTAGCAGATGTGATGTGATCATTGTAATAATTGTAATCATCCAGGTAGGAGACACTTGGATCAGGGTGGAGCGGTGGAAGTGGTAAGAAGTGGTCGTATTCTAGATATATTTAGAAGGCAGAGGCACAGGATATCCTGATGGAACTAGTTATGGTATATGAGAGAAAGAGGAGAATCTGGGATGACTCCAAGATGTGTGACCTAATGTTGGGAAGGACAGAGGTGGCCTTTACTGATATCAGGAAAGTGAGAAATGAGCAGGTTGTGAAGGGGACAATCAGGTTTTCTATCTGTGACAAACTTGAGATGCCTATTAGGCTTCCAAGTGGAGAATGAATAGAAGTTGGATATACCTTTCTGGGATCCTGAGGAGTGAATGGCATTTAAGAAGTTATGTATACTGGTAAAGGGCCTTTGAATCAGAGGGAACAGTTTAGGAAAGATGTTTGTTGAAACTGGAGGTCGGATATTAATTTAAGAAGCCATTTTGGAAGTCTAGGTGAGTTGACTGTACTCTGATCTAGGGTATTGGCAATAGAGATGGAAAGAAAGAGACACTGAATGAAAGGACTTGATAACTAATGGAAAGTGGGGAGAAGGGAGAAACAATGCTGAAATGTGGTTCTTAGGTTTCAGATGTGGAAGATGGAGGGCAGGTAGCATCATTAGTCATCATAAGTGGAAGAGCAGGTTTGGGGACAAGATTGAATTTGGTCACATTAATAATAACCATGCATTTAGTGAGTTACAGTTTACAAAATCCCTTGTAGATATTATTTTAATCAGCCCTTTGACAATTGAAGTGCCTAGGGGATATCCTTGCAGAATTATTCATTCAAGGAGCAATTGAAAATGAGTTAAAGGAAGGACTGGTTCCTTAACTATGGAATTGGGAATCGCTTGGAAGTTTTAACTCCGTGAGCTAGCTAAGCTAGGAATTCCTAAACTGGCTAAGAGCAAACATGCTTTAAAATAAATAATGATGGCAACTTCGTGGAAGGCAAAATTTAGATGTCCAGGCAGGAGATGAACAGTTAGTTAAATAAAGTCAGGAGTACAGTATAAAAGATCAGTAGGAAAGAGCTTCAAAGCCTCTTTCTCTCATTCCTACTTGCTCCTCTGTATTCAGATCTGACCTCTCCCTCTCCTTGAGACCACCCTCAGTCTCTCTTTCCCGTCTGGTAGAGTTTACCAGGCTCTTTTATGTGCATGTAGAGAGCACACATGTGCCTGTGTCCAATGCCCCACTCTGTTCATTGGTTTCTACTGTGGATTGAGCTCTCCCAAAGCTTAACCTCAGTCCATCCTTGTGTTACAAGTTGAATGCATACAAGCTGCCCTCATGAAAGAAGAGGGTTATAGAGGGAGTTATAAAGGACTGTTAGAAACTACCTGTGGTGCTTTGAGAATAGGTCTAGTGCTGTGGTAGGGCACAGAATCTTTTAGAAGCAGCAGCACATTTATTCAAGGCATTGAACTTGAGGAGAAAAATATCAGGTAAACATTAAATTATTGATAAGTGCCCAGCAAAGGCAGCCAAACCTCAGCAGATTATCTTTGAGGGAGATAGAAACTAAAAAGAGATGATTCTAGTGACTATTCTTTTCCCTAAAGTAATCTCTTTATGCATTAACCTCTTTAAATATAAACCGGGTTATTTTTTTGTCAGACTCATATAGGGCTAATCTAGCCATTTTGTGAAAAAATTCACACTCGAGTGCTAGGCTCTTGTTTCTGAGTTTTGGAAAAACACATCTATCTCTGTAGTGCTACTTTTGTGACACTATCACTGAAGTGTCAAGGGAGAAATTTAGGTGGAATTTCCAAATGTAAGTCCAACCTCAGTTTAACCCCTAAGTCTGGTCATGTGAACTTCCATAGTAACCATGAGTATTTTTATTGTAGGAGTAAGTCCATGAGTGATGTCAGCGCAGAGGATGTTCAAAACTTGCGTCAGCTTCGTTACGAGGAGATGCAAAAATTAAAATCACAATTAAAAGAACAAGATCAGAAATGGCAGGATGTGAGTATTTGGGGGGTTGGGACTGGGGAGAGTGTATTTGTTTGACTATTCTTTGCTTTTCTCAAAGTCAATATACTCAAGACCATTTTCCTTGCTATTACAGAATTCAGTTCTGTATAAAATGTAACCAACTTCATTTACAAAGATTTTAAAACCATTTTCTTCCTATTATTGTTGCATATTTTAAAGGCCATTGTGAAAAATATACCTGAGTGTTTATTTTCTAATATTCCCTGAGTTCTCAAAAATGTGAGTTGCTTCCTTGCAGTATAGTGAACTTATTCACTTGGTTATTTGGTTGAATTTGGGATATGCACATTGAGTATGCTTCTGATGGGAAAGACCTGCCTGGGCAAAGTTTCGGGACAGAAGAAGAACAGGGTTCTGGCTGAGATCTTGGCATCAGTAAAGAAAGATGAAAATGGTTAGTAATTAAGAGTTAATTAAGGAGATTTGGGGAGAAATAAGTAATAGAACTCAGAGCAATATTTTGGCTGAATAAGTCACGAGGTCAAGAGATCGAGACCATCCTGGTCAACATGGTGAAACCCCGTCTCTACTAAAAATAAAAAAAATTAGCTGGGCATGGTGGCACGTGCCTGTAATCCCAGCTACTCAGGAGGTTCAGGCAGGAGAATTGCCTGAACCCAGGAGGCGGAGGTTGCGGTGAGCTGAGATTGCACCATTGCGCTCCAGCCTGGGTAACAAGAGCGAAACTCTGTCTTAAAAAAAAAAAAAAAAAAAAAAAAAAAGAAATGTTTTTGCAGAATTGACGTATATCCAGGTGTTTATATAGATGTAGACTTAATCTTTAGTTTTGATCCTGAAGAAAAAAGCTTGACCATTTATTTGAATAAAGTAATTGTGAAAAACTGAAGAAATGCAAAGAAATACAGTAGACAAATGATCAGAGAAATTTGAGGACGACTTTACGGTGAGAGTTGAGTGATAGCATGAACACAGGAGTCAGCGTGAATCTTAATTTTCAAAGGAATTAATAGTCTCTGAAATGAAGAAACCCCTGCCCTGCCTACCTTTCTAAATTCTAGTGCCTTCTTTAATTGGGAACTCAATTTAATTGTCAAGAAACAGTAGTTCAGTATCACTTTGCCAAAATACATGGTGAATTTTATGGTATGAGAGTAAGTATTAAGGGCTTATCTGTTAGGTTAAATCAGATAAAAATTCATGGCAGTTATGCTATAGGACTAAGTGTGGATTGCTTTTGTTCTTTCTGGAAGAAGTTCCTATTGGTCTCAGGCTGTTTTTAAAGCAGGAGTGGCTCTGTGGGCTGGCAAGGGGTATAAACCAAACTTACATTGCATGCCCTGGGGGTGAAGTTTGGTTTTGTTTGAGACCTTGAATGTGGTTCTGTTTGGACTGGAATGCCACTAACAGTTCTTAGCATGGTGTTTCTCTATTTTGGAGACATGGAAAACTTTATACCTTGAAAACTGTCTTAACCCCCTGGGTGTCAGAACCAGCCTAGGTTTCTGGGTGGAAGTGAAAAGCTGAATTAGGGTGATTGTCCCTGGGATCACCCAGCAAGGTTAGACTTAACATTCCTGGGGATATGGGAGACAGGTGTGAGTTTGTTCTCACCACATGTTCCTTATTACCCTAACCTAGGTGGACTTAACCCTTATGAAATCCCACACTCAAGTCTCACCTTCCCAGTTAAAGCCTCTCCACAGCCTCCGCTTCCGGAGGTAGAACCAGCCCCATGGTCTCCTTAGGACCCCACTCTCTCACGCAATCCTGTCACACTCGTTCCTGAACTTTTATTTAGATGTCTGTCTCTCCTCTGTAAACTGAGAGTTTCTTGAGGGAAACCACACCTTATGCATGTATGTATTAATAGTTCCTACACTTGGGCCTGTCTCAAAGTAGGGATTGAGCTCTGTTCGTTAAATGAAAGACAGACTACATCTGCGCTTAACCATCACAGTCGCGTTTCTGTTTCAGTCTTACCAGTGAAACATGTTTCACGTAACAGCCAGGTTTTTGGAGTGAGATGAAAATGAATTTGAAACAGTTCTTGATCTAATTACAAGCATTTAGCATTCTTTGTGAAGTGTGCAATGAGGCAGATACTTTCTGGGAAAACAAAAATGGGGTCTATGTTATTAGGTCAGGTTTTTCAGACAGACACAGATAAAGGCTTAGTACAGAAACACTGGCTATAAAAAGCAAAATTAGGGCACCTTGGCATCCAGTTGGAGTGAATAGTTTCAGTGATGTAATAAGATACTCTGGCACATTCTCGCTGCTAGAAATGGTGTCTAGAAATTCAGGTGTGCCCCTGCTGATGTGATTTTTCTGTCAGGACCTTGCAAAATGGAAAGATCGTCGAAAAAGTTACACTTCAGATCTGCAGAAGAAAAAAGAAGAGAGGGAAGAAATTGAAAAGCAGGCACTTCAGAAGTCTGAGAGAAGCTCTAAGACGTTTAAGGAAATGCTCCAGGACAGGTAATAATGCTGAATGCACCTTGGTTGTAACAGGGATGGGGATGCCAGGCTTATAAACAGGTATTTTGTGTAAGTGTAGTGTGATGTAAGTGTCCACCAATATTCAACTTTAATCAAATATGCAAAGAAACGTTCCAGATTTTGGTCTGCAGTGAAAAAGCAAAGCATTGTTGAAATAGTGACTTAGAGTAACAAAATAAATGAAGACTTAAAATAGGTGTTCATTATTTCTTCTCTTACCTTATGCATTCACATGCAGAATTGGATGCCGTTGGCTATGTTTGGTGCAGGAAATACACTACATCTTACTCTTAAGCGAATTAAGGAATGAGATGGTCCAATAAAACCAGCTCTTTTAATTAAATTGTGTAAAATATAACAAGGTTCTTTTTCATGCTTAATGGTACAATTCATTATATTTTAAAGAAAGTTTTTATAAATGTGTGTGTTTTATTCTTTGCTTTACAATATAACAGTATAAAGGTCAAATTTAAACTTTCCTGTAAAGCATTTGTTACTGCATGAAACATTAGGGTATTTACAGGTCAAGGAGGAGGAAAATCTACTTTTAGAATAATGTTAGAAGGGAAATATGCTGTCAGATGAAATTAAACAAGGCTGCTTTCTGCCCTAAAAGCCAATGATAAGCACAGTTTCGTTCACTTAAATGTAATTCAGTTAGGTTGGAAGGTAGGTTTTCCTTTCTAAATGTGAGAGATGAAGGTGTTTTGTAAACCTTTCTGTAAATCTGAATGGTAACTTTTAATCCCTAATTATTGTTCATACAAGTTCGGTCAAGCTATATTAAATCATACACTAGTTTGATCTCCACAAAAGCCCGAGTCTTTTGTAATCTTTTATTTTTACTTAATTATTGGAGATTTTTCCAGGTAAAAATCCTCACAGGACTGTCAATTAATCTACGACTTTGGAAGGTTCAAATTGGTTATCAATCATGATTTAATTTTGAAAGTAATAAAGTTATGGGTAAAATTTTGTGAATAATCTCTTACTAAAGTTTCCTTGTTTCATTATTAAAATCTCTTTACAATTAAAAATATATATCTGAGTGAAATATTTGAGAATCTTTTTAATTAAAGAAGTCAAGTTCTTATTCTTTCTTAATTGGGACATTAGGATAATTACATACATCTTGCTAGGCAGGGTGGCTCACACCTGAAATCCCAGTACTTTGGGAGGCTGTGGCAGGCAGATCACAAGGTCAGGAGTTCAAGACCAGCGTGGCCAATATGGTGAAACTCTGTCTCTACTAAAAATATAAAACAATCAGCCAGGCATGGTGGCACATGCCTTTAATCCCAGCTACTTGGGAGGCTGAGGCAGGAGAATTGCTTGAACCCTGATGGCAGAGGTTGCAGTGAACTGAGACTGCACCACTGCACTCCATCCTAGGTGACAGAGTGTGACTCCATCTCAAAAAAAAAAAAGATAATTGCATCTTTATGCTCTGTAAGTGTTGTGTTGATTCTTGTGTGAAGTTAACAGCTTTTTATTCCCAGTCCATTTTATGTGTTGATTACTCTCTGTGTCAAATGTGTATCTTTGTGGTGATGGTGCATTTCTTTCTGCTAAGGGAATCCCAAGATCAAAAGTCTACAGTTCCATCGAGGAGGAGAATGTATTCTTTTGATGATGTGCTGGATGAAGAAAAGCGACCCCCCACACTGACGATGTCAGAAGCAAGTTACCAGAGTGAGAGAGTAGAAGAGAAGGGAACAACTTATCCTTCAGAAATTCCTAAAGAAGATTCTGCCATTTTTGCAAAAAGAGAGGACAGTGTAACTACTGAAATTCAGCTTCCTTCTCAAAGTCCCATGGAGCAACAATGTCCCGCTTCTTTGTCTTCTCTGAGTTCACTGAGCACACAAATGGAGTCGACTCGTGTTTCAGCTTCTCTCCCCAGAAGTTACCAGAAAACTGATACAGCCAGGTTAACATCTGTGGTCACACCAAGACCTTTTGGCGCTCAGACAAGGGGAATCTCATCACTCCCCAGATCTTACACGGTAAAAAAAAATGTTCTTGGTTCATTTAGTTTGTTCTGAAGAGCAAAATGCTGGTGAACTTGTGCTGAGGTTGGGGTTATATCAACTTGATGTGTAAACTATACATAACATATATAAGGAAATTTTTATTTTGTGCCAATTCAATGCAAATTTAACACTTAAGATATAGCAATGGTACAGAATTTATTAAACTTTCAATTCTGTGAAAATAGGGCTGATACATTTTAAAGAATGAAGAAGATATATTCTAAGGCAGAGTATTATTTTATAATGTCATTTTTTTTAGATGTACCTTTTGTAAATTATTAGGTTGAAAAGTATGAAGTTGTTGGTATGATTGTTCTTCTTGACCTACAGAACAGCAATTTCATATGGTTTAGCCTAGATATTTTCAGGTGCTTATGTACAAATTTCTGCTTTTTTTAGATTTCTTACTTCATCAGAACTTGATATGTTTGAATATAATAATTAGAATACATCATATTGTTTATAGACATTATTTCCATTAATATCAGGATTTTGAAGATATAGAATATTGAAGCGTTTTTCCTGAGAATAAAGTGTTACCATATCTGACAGTGAATGTGTTAATCTGAATTATGCAAAAGGCAGCAACACAGTCCTATGATTAATGTTCAGAATTTTTTTTTAGCTCTGCTAATGTACAATCCCAAACACTAAAAGAATATAAAAAATTGAATATTTGGGGTGAGAGAAGCCTACCTAGGCTAACTGGGCAACTCCTGAACATAGAATTTCATGGCAGACACCTTTTACATAGTCAAAAGACTATACGTATAGACGCAGACAAGTGTTAGCAAAGTGTATTATAGGTAAAGGGCAAATATCTCTAAGACAGAAAATATTTCCACAAATGGGTAAGGAAAAGCACTAGAGAAGTGAATATAGAAAAGTATTGGCCATTTCAAGAGAGAGGGGATTCAAATGGCTGGTAACAAAGCACACAGAAGTACGTTCAGCATCCCTGGAGCAAAAATGAGGCATATAAGTTTTTATCCATCAGAGTCATATAGACTTAAAACATTGAAAATGTCTAGCGTTGGCAAGGATGCCAAGAAACAGATGTTCTCATACATTACTTTGGGAGTGTATTGCTACAATTATTTTTAGAAACTATATATATATAAAACTTTTGTTCCAGCAAGCCTGCTTTTGGAAATCTGTGCTATAAAAATGAAAGTTTCAATTATAAAGAGATATGGTTATTTGTTACAGTATTTTTGGAAGTGACAGAACATTTTAAGCAACTTTAAATGCACATCAAATGAATAAATTGTTGATGTCCATACTACAGAATATTCAGCAAGTAAAGGGACTGGTTAGAGTTTTATCTGTTGACCTGGAGTGGATCAAAAGAACAACAAGACTGGGAGAGCATTAGGAGAAATACCTAATGTAGATGACAGGGTGATGGGTACAGCAAACCACCATGGCATGTGTATACCTATGTAACAAACCTGCACATTCTGCACATGTACCCCAGAACTTAAAGTGTGTAAAGTGTGTGTGTGTGTGCATATATATACACACACATCACTGAGACCTTTTGGCTCTCAGTCAAGGGGAATCTCATCATTCCTCAGATCTTACATGGCAAAAAATGTTCTCAGTTCATTTAGTCTGTTCTGAAGAGCAAAATGTTGGTGAACTTGTACAGAGGTTGGAGTTACACCGTCTTGTTGTGTAAACTGCACGTAACACACACACACACACACACACACACACACACACACACACACACACGTATATATGGCAATTTTATTTTATGCCAGCTTAGATTCAGTGGAAATTTAATGCTTAAGATGTTTGCTTGGAGTAAACAAGCAAAGCAAATTTCAGAAGTTTGTATGTGATATGAATGCTTTTGCTAAAACGATTCCCCCTACTACATGTGTGTTTGTCTATTAGTGTGAGAGAACTCAGTCCAAGCTTTTAGCAATAGTTATGTTACTGTAGGAGGTATGTTATTTTAGTTTTAAAATAGTAATTTAATAATTAACTTTTAGAAACAGAAATAAAGGTAACAGAATATCAAGTTTAAAGTGATTTTTTCTTATTTAGATGGATGATGCTTGGAAGTATAATGGAGATGTGGAAGACATTAAGAGAACTCAAAACAGTGTGGTCAGCTCCCCTGCACCAAACCTGGATGCAAGCCAACTGGCTTCAAGCTCATCTAGCCAGAAACAGGTAGCTGCAGCAGAAGATGTGACAAGGCTGCCCTCACCCATATCCCCCTTCTCGTCTCTTTCCCAAGACCAGGCTGCCACTTCTAAAGCTACGTTGTCTTCCACATCTGGCCTTGATTTAATGTCTGAATCTGGAGAAGGGGAAAACTCCCCCCAGAGTGAAGTCTCAACATCCCAGGTGAGTTTGGGAAAGTTCTTTATCATCTGTGGCTCAGACATGCATTTAAAACTGGAAACTTGTCTCAAACCTCAAATCTCTACGTGTTAATCTGGGCTAAAAATGTGAAAAATGATACAATGGCTTACATTGAACAGATCTTGGTGGAAGTCTGTCTCTTTCTACTCTGGGTACATAGATCCAGATAACACTTGTGATGTGAGTCTATGGAGACTTTGTGCACCAGTCTCCTTGGGATTTGGCTGGTGTTTTCTCTGTATTCCACATTTCAGTAGTTGTGGCCTTATACTGCTAGTGCCCTGTAGTCCCAGGTTTCAGGTACAGTTGTCACTTTAAAGGTTTTAGATGCAGGTCTGAATGTGCCTCATTCTTGCCCCAGGGAAGCTGAACATGAGTCTGTGTGTTTTGGGTGTCTTTGGGTGACAGAAGCCCTTTCCCAGGGAACTTAACAGGCCACAAGGAAAAATTGATGCACATGATAGGTGCTCGCCTCTAGGGACATGGCATTTCTTTTTCGATTATTTTAATCTTCTAATGACTTTTAATACTATTTCATACTTTAGAACATCTGAACATAATTTTTGATGGCCTCTTGTCTCTTAATGGGACTATCCAGGCTTGTTATAATATGACAATTGTATTCCACAACATTTGGAGTCCAAACAAAATATACCATCAGGTGAAGAATGATTGGGGATGTGTGTGGTTTTTCCTACTTAAAATTCTAATAGATGACTTCTTAGAGAATGATTAGGTAATAAATGTTCTTTGTAGCCTACCTGTAAAACACACTGAAAGTCTTTGGTGAACAGAAAGCTCTTTCTTAGAAAAATTCTTGCTTAGCAATTTGATAGTTGAATGAACCCCTTAGCATGGAGGAGCTTTTGTGGTTCTTCGACTTGCTTTAGTATTCCCTGTTGCCCTGCAAAACTTTAAGAGAAAGACAGTGTGTGTATGGTGTGTGTGTGTGTGTGTGTGTGCATGTGCATGTGTGTGTACACACACACATATATATATATATATGACTTGTCCTAAGTTATATTAATTAAATGATGTAAAATTATTTGGCATTTCATATTTATTATTATTGATTTTTTATTTGTGTGGGAAAACTTAAGAAATTTAAACTTTCTTTTCTAGTTATAAAGTACTATGTACTTTAGAAAATTTGGAAATGCAGGGAAGTATAAATAATTTAAATTTCTGATGATTCCATCATTTAGAGGTAATTGTTAACATCTAGGTATATTTCTTTTGTTTTTTTCCCTTGCATATTTACAGGCATATATCTAAAAACAATTTCTTTAGCTTGCCGAAATAATTAGTTGCAAATTATCATTCCATGTTGAAGGAACTGGAAATATATAATTAACATCCTAAGTCTCAGTTGAGGAGAACAATAGCCTATGCTGTATTGTACTTGGGGAACATAAGGTACCAGGAATGAATAATAAAAGCAAAAGCAAAGTGTCTTTTGTTTCATGGATTTGTATATTTGCCTTTACCTTTTTCAAATAGTAAATCCAACAAAGCAGCCTGAATCAGGTGCTGCATGCTGGGTGTTAGTACCTCCCTCAGGGTGGCAGCTGAGTAACTGCAACTTCGGATTAAGGAACAGAGGCAAAGTGTGGTGTGTGGGTGTGTCTCAGGTTATTGCAATTCAGAGGAGCTTCAATTAATGTGGCACTGTTTCAGCTTTCATCATTAATGGATTTATACTTCTTTGTTCCCAAACTTGAGATGGTATTTCACCAAGAAAAATTAGGCCTGATGACAGTGGAAGCCATTGGAATTCTTTAACATAGACATAATTCATAAGGTGACTTACCAATCTCTGATGCTTGGTGTGTCCATTTCTGTGCCAGTAGGGCCATAGCTTCTATACCACCGCACTGCCTTTGTCTCAGAAGGAGCTTACTGCCTTGAGAGAAGGGTGTGAATGTGTATGACGGCTGAGCAATATGTAAAGGGCCCGTGCAACACTCCTCCAGACTTCATTCAGACACTGTAGCTCTAGGTGTTCAGAGGATAGCAGAATCAAGAGTAGCATGTGGCTGATCATCTAAATGTTTTGGTAGGTTTGTAAAAGAATGTTCTTCAGGTTATTTTTCTCTTCCATACCTTGCACTTTTGCTGGCACTGTCTTTTCCAAACTCCAAAATCCCCCTGATGTTATTCTTTTCTTTCTTTTTTTTTAGATAGGGTCTTACTCTGTTGCCAGGCTGTAGTACAGTGAACTCAAGCAATCCTCCCACCTTAGCCTCCTGAGTAGCTGGGACTGCAGGCACATGTCACCACTCCTGGCTAATTTTTGTATTTTTTTGTAGAGTTGGGCTTTCACCATGTTGCCCAGGCTGCTCTCGAACTCCTGGGCTCAAACAATCCATTTATCTTGGCCTCCAAAAATGCTGGGATTACAGATGTGAGCCACCATGTGCAGCTGATGTTATAATCATTTCTATCCTGGCTTCTATTACGCTAATCCAGGCCCTTTTCCTATCTGTGCAAATAGTTACAGGTGTTAGTGTGTACTGCACAAGACTGGCATCAGATTAACTTGATGCCGGGTTGGACTCAGTAATTTCTCTACTCCAAAGCTTCTAGTAGCACTGTGGGGTTTGCTGAATGAAGTTCGTAGTGCTCAGGGAAGCACTTATATCTCTCATTCCCTTTGTAGCGCAGTCATAGCTGATGGTAGCATGCTTATTATGTGCCAACCAGGCTTCTCAGGGAGGTATCTTAGTTAATCCTCACATCAGCCCTGTGAAGTCATCCACAGTCCGATGTGGACGATCATGATTATCCCTATTTTATAAACATAAAAATTGAGGCATGGCATGGGCATTTTACTTGTTCAGGGCTGTGCAGGGTACCAAGTGGAGTCAGGATATGAACCCAGACAGTCTGACTCAAGATTTAGTATCACGTTATGCTAGCATGCTATGTCCTGGGAAAGAGAGGTGATTCACCTGCATATGGCTGCTTGCTTTTTCTTGGATACGTCCTGTACTTTCTGGAGCTCATCATTGCTTCCCCATTTGAAGATGCTTATTTCACACATCTCTGCCTTTTAAAGTCTTACTGTTCCTCAAAAGCCCAGGAGGACCACTTTCTTCATGAAACAAGTTATCACCCCTCCCCCACTGGAATCAAACTTCGTACCCTTGAAAAGTTTCACTCACTGAATTCTTCCTTGTCCCATATAGTTACGTGTTCCTCCTTCACTGATATTCTTTGTACATTCTTACATATAATTGGCACTTAGTTTTACTGACTTGAACTGTATTCAAGGCCTTGATTACTAGGCTGAAGTATGAACTTGATCAGGCAGGTAATTTAGAGTCCTTATTGGTTCTTTAGTGTGGGCATTTGAAGATTAAGGGTTGTTTTAGGAATGTAAGCACTGGCTGGGTGCGTTGGCTCAAGCCTGTAATCCCAGCACTTTGGGAGGCTGAGACGGGTGGATTCCGAGATCAAGAGATCGAGACCATCCCGGTCAACATGGTGGAACCCTGTCTCTACTAAAAATACAAAAATTAGCTGGGCATGGTGGCACATGCCTGTAATCCCAGCTACTCGGGAGGCTGAGGCAGGAGAATTGCCTGAACCCAGGAGGCGGAGGTTGCAGTGAGCCGAAATTGCGCCATTGCACTTCAGCCAGGGTAACAAGAGCGAAACTCGGTCTCAAAAAAAAAAAAAAAAAAAAAAAAAAGGAATGTAAGCACTATGGTGTTCCCTAGAGTTATTTTAGGAAAGCCAAATCTGGAAGCAGAGACTAGTTAGGAGCCTCTCAGAATTGCACTAATAAGGTGGCATGTGCCATAAAGTAGAAAAATCATAATGAAGGAAAGCACTTAATATGGTCTTATTTAAAATCTGCCCATAGAGATTTCCTTTTCATCCTCATAGCTGAGCTGTGGGTTTTGTCCTTCTCTCTTCTTTTTTCCCCCTTTCTTCTCTTGTAGTTTTGATTTTTCTCTACCTTTCTTGCCAATCCCAGCTGCCAAGCTCATTCTGGAGGTGAACCCAGGCAAAGGAGAGGGAGTGTGACTCCTGGAGTTCTTCACCCCCCTCCACATGCAGATGTGGTTTTCATGATTCTCCCCAAAGTTGGTCTTGCCTACAGGTTTCTGGTTTTTTTTTTTCTGTCCTTTCAGAGCTCTAGATTTTCAAACTCTCTACAAATCCGCTTTCCAGAAACTCTGCTCCAGATTTTTTAAAGCAGTAACCCCTAAATGGGATGACACATATGGAAGAAAGGAACCTTTCTGCATGTCCATATCCTGATCTCAGCCCCACGATTAGTGACCCTTTGGATATAGCTGCACTTTTGCTAACTTTTCACCTTCACTAGAACCTGCTCTCCATGAGGGTGAAACACAACCCTCCCTTCCTCCTTGTCAGTGAAGTGCCTGGATCTGTACATGTTCGCTGAATGCTGACCAAATTTTCTTGGCTTTAGAGCTAAGTATTTGAGAATTAAATGGGATTTTCTTTAATTGATCTGGAAACTGCTTAGCCAGCATGGGTATTATGTTTAACATTTGCTTCCATGGGAAAAAGAAGGCCATTACTGGGCATCAGTCATGTCTGCCTTGACACCTTTTAAATGTTTCATTTAATCATCTCAATAACCCTGCAAAGTAGGTGTATTAGCCCCATTTTTACCAATGAAGTACTTGAGATTTGAAAGTTATAAAACTTGCCCCAGGCTGGCGAAATGCCTTGGCCACAACTGCGATTTATCTGATGTGAAAGTTTTTTGAAATATGACAGACTCATATTTGAGGACTGCCTTATGTATATTTAAGAGAATACATGTTGACTTATTTGGACTTTGCTATGTCTTTAGGATTTTAGAACCACTGGGGGATGAAATGCCTTTTTGTCTATAAAGATAAAATCATCCTTGAAATCATTTTGAGGAAAGGTGATATTATATGTTTATTGAAACTTACCAGAACTAACATGCAGAGTTCAAAATCTTCCAAGTAGGGCAGTAAGGAGCTGCCAGCAATTTAAAAACAGAGTGTGATATAATAGCATATTCTATAACTAAAGTTCTGGCAGCTGTGTGGACAATGAACAGAATAAGGGCTGGAGGCAAGAGAGCCAGTAACCCGGGGTAACCATAGGAGTTTAGAGGAGATAATGGCCTGAGCTATGATGATACCCCAAGGGAGGGTGGTAAAGTGGGGATGATTCAAGATGGATTATGGACTTGATAGAACTTTGTAAAATGTAAGCGTGTATGGTGGAGAGTAGTAGTACAGGGATTGTGGTATTTGAGTGGGGAACAGTTAGGGGAAGGAAGGAGAAAGAGGCCCAGAAAGAATCCGGTGTTTCTAACTTGGGCATCTGATGAGCTATTGATGCAATCAACCAAAATATGTAAAGCAAGAGGTAGAAGAACAGGTTTGGGAGGAAGATAATGAATTTAATTTTCAAATTGTTGGACTTGGACATTGGAGGTTGCTCAGAAAAGCATGTAGTCAGAGAGGTTGGAGACTGACTAAGGAACAAACAACACAATGAAAAGAGGAGAGAAAAAGAGGAACATGCTCGTGAAACTGAGTGGCAAGAGACATGGGAAGGAAGGCTGGAGAAGTGGAGATAATAGGTGACTTTAGAAGATTGTTTCCCAGAAAGCAAGAATAGTGGGTAGTGCCTGGAGGGATGAAAACTCAAGATGCATTTGGTAGGTAGAAGATAATCTTGGAATGGGATAAGGACAGTGACGGGTGTATTATAGAAACACTACCTGCTGCAGCAGAATGAAGGATTTAGAGAGAAAGACCAAGATTTGACGACTACTCAATTCATTTTCTCATTCCAGTAAGACTCTGAAAGAAAGACACTAAAGAACTATATGTATACAAATTCAAAGATTATGTATTTCCTCTGATATTCCTGATTTTACAGTCCAGATTTACTTTTAGGGTTAATTTTATCAACTAAGTAGGCTTCCCTTAACACATTTGTCTAATAGAAAAAATTTGAGGAATGTAGCTTTCTGATTTGACATTTAAGATTGGCCCTGTTTTTAAAATTAAATTCTATGGTGACATGAAAATCTTAATTCAAGAGATTTAGCAGAAATAAATGTTACCTTTGGGACTCCAGACCCCCCTCATGTTTTTGTTTAAAAATGTAGAATCTTGTACTTCTGTTTGATCAGGCATCAGTCTGACAGTTGGTGGGGCCATCTGAACTTTCAATGGATACTTCTGCTCACGTTGTACATAATTTGAGGGAAATTTTAATTTTATATACTGAGATGTTGATAGACAACTGCCTTATCTTTTCTGGCATGAACAACTGAAACCACTTGGATAGTTCATTATCAGTCATCAGGAATCTAGATCTCCCCCAATAATTTATATTCCTGTTCCATCCAGTTCAAAGATGATATTGCCATTATTATCTTCTGAAGCTTGGATTCTTTGTAGGGTACTCACTTGGCATATACCTTGCAGAGAAAAATAAGGAAGTTGAAATCCTTCCTGAAATCATTGTTGAACAATTTATACTTGAATGTAATTATAGATATGTTCACTTGCAAGAAGTTTCAGGAATAATTTACTGTAAGAACATGGGATTGAACAGAGATGCCTCAAGAGTGCCATAAGGGGAAGGCCACACAAGTGGGGCTCTGGGACTCTTACTTTGAAACCACAGCCACTCACTTTAATCCTTTCCGTATATTGGTTTGGAAAGAGGCGCTCTGCATAAGACTTTGATTTGAAAGTAGGCTTCTTAAAACCAAAATTAAAAATCAGTATCTATGAAAGAGAAGGCTTTACCAGGCCCAGTGACATGCATGTGGTCACCTGGTTAATGAGAGAAATGCACCGGTAATTACCCATGTGGTTCTTTTCTCTTTGACTGTGTCTGTCCCAGCAACTGACAACGACAGTCTGCCTGGCTGTAGCCACAGGGACGCTGTCCTTTCTGTTAACTCTTTCAAAGAAGAGATGGTTATCTGCCCTTTTATTACTATTTAAGATGTTCAAATAGTGATTTCTTTGTTTCTGAGGTAAGTATAGTCCTTCATGAGACAGTATTTCCAATTTAATATAAGAGTGAAACATTTCCCTCTAGGGCTTAAGCTCGTTCTGTTTGATCCTATATTTGGTAGAAAAGGATAATGTTCGCTTGCTATCATCTCCCACGAAATATTTTTAATGTACTTTGAGAGTATTTATCAAGACTCCATCCTGTCTTTTATTCTTAGAACTAGAAAACATCAGTGTTTTGAATATGTAACCCCTGATTTGTCTCTTTCTTACACAGCAAATAGATTCTGCAGTTTAATTGGCTCTAAGTCAGATTTTTTTTTTTGTAAGAGTGGTGAAGATGACCACTTATTTTCACTGAGTCATCTCTGACTTAAGTGTATGGTGGTTTCGGCTAGGAAATAGAAACAACCAGTAATTTTTGCTATTCTTAGCAGAGTTTTATTATATTCTTCAGATTGGCATTCATCAGGTGATTATTAACAAGTGTTATGACTACATCTGCATTTCCACATTCCAACTGCTTTACAAAAGGCTTTCTACTGAAACCTAAAAATCCTATACCCACTGAAAAATCAACAATTATATTTTGAGAGCAATAATCAGCCCTAATTTATTTTTATTTCCCACAGTGCTAAGTATTATGTTTTCTACAGAGTAAACAATCAATATATGTCAAACAGTTGAATGAGTGAAATGTCATAGTACTTCTGCATATCCATATGGAGTAGCAAATTCTTAATCTTTTATTTAGTACCTTCCTTTAAATTCTTGTGTACTATCTTAGTCCATTTAATGTTGCTATAACAGAATACCTGAGGCTGATTGATTTATAAAGAAAAGAGGAGGTTTATTTGGCTCATGGTTCTGGTGTCTGGAAAGTCAAAGAGCATGACACTGGCATCTGCTTGGCTTCAGGTGAGGGCCATGTGCTGTGTCACAATATGATGGAAAAGCAGAAAGCCAAGTGGTGTGCGGAGACCCAACACAAGGCAACCTCACTTTATAACAACCCACTCTTGTGGTAGCTAATTCAGTCATGCTAGAGTGAGAACTTCTCCCATGAGACTGCATTAATCCCTTCATGAGGGCAGATCCTTCATGACCCAAACACCTGTTAAAGGTAACACCTCCAAACACCACCACATTGGCCATTAAATTTTAACGTGAGTTTTCTTGGTGATGAATCACATCCATACCATGGCATGTACTATCCTAGTTTTTCTCAGAATATTGCCACTTGTTTTAAACTTGTTTTATGGGTAGAAGAACTAAGGCAGAACGTTTTATGAATTGCCGAATTGGTCCTTGGGTTAGGTTTAACTGCCAAATTAAAATGGAGATTGGTAGGTCTTTTTCTGGAAAGTAAAACAGGTTTAGGAAGAATTCTAACAGGTAAGTCTGCTTTTTATGATTAGGAAGCAAAGAGCTGAAGCACGAATCTCATAAATTCATATTTATGATCTGTCTGTTGGTCACTCAAAACAAAATATGTAAATTACAAAAGAACTTAAGGTTTGCACAGACAATATACTGTAAAACTTGAAACATTTGGTTTAGAAAATAGTTTAAGTTCCATGGAATTCAGAATTTATTGGGTAGTATAATGATAGCAATGGGAGTAATTATACCTTTTGTTCAAGAGGCTATTGTTTTTGGGGGCTTATGGGCTGATGTTATTTTGAGGAAGTCATGGTCTGTGGCTCAGGGTGTGTCAATAGGGGACCCTCTTGGTATCTTAAGGAATAATTCCTTACAGTTGACATAGTTCTGCATTTTGCAGCATTTAGAACAGCTACACCTTAAACACTAAATTTTCACCTGGCATTTGGGCAAGCAAAAATGCCCTTCCAAACTTCACATACCCACTGGGCAGTGGTACCAGTCCTAGTGGGTGCTACTGGAGGCTAAATTATGTGTCTGTGAACCACTTGAAGTTATTCAGATAAATATGTCAAGTATTGGGTATAGGTTTTTACAAGTTTGGTGGTCCTTTTTGAATAAATGATTTAAATCACTGTACTTATATCTGGGCAATGAATACATGGTCTGTGTATTAGACCCAATTGTACAGTGGGCAGAAACCTAAGCTTGTCCACAGCTAATTGAATTACATTATTAATATGAAGAAAAAGATGTACTGGCAATAAGATTTTCCTTATTTTAGTGGAAAAAGAATAAACTTGGTGCTATTTATATAAATGAAAGCTTTACCAACCCAAGGAAGAAAGAATGAAGCTTCTAGCTTATCATGAAATGATTCAAGTATACCTAGCGTGCAGCCTTCCTTCTTACATGGATAGACTTTCCTCCATGTGGCTGCCAGGGACACCTGATATGAGCGTTTCATGTTTTGTTTTCAGGATCAGTTCAGTGATATGAGAATCAGCATAAACCAGACGCCTGGGAAGAGTCTTGACTTTGGGTTTACAATAAAATGGGATATTCCTGGGCTCTTTGTAGCATCAGTTGAAGCAGGTAAATGATATATTCAGCTCTACTGAACTTTCTTCTCCTTTTTCATCTTTCGTTGTGGGGTTGGGGACCACAGAAATTAGTCTATTTAACATAGGAGGAGAAAATGTGTGAGAAATGCAACTCTAAGGCCACGGAATACGTACTCTTCCCTGGGATTATTAGTTGGGGTTACAAATTCCATATTGTTTATTATTCTTGCCTAATTAATTTTAGTTTTGAAGAGCATTAGTTTTGTGATTTTACAGATTTTGTCCATTTTGGATATTATATTTGGAAATACTAACAGCACTTAAGATTCAGAAAGAACTTGCCATGATCACCATACTTTGCAGTAGATATATAAGTGCTATTTAATAAGGTGATTTTTTTTTTGAGTGCTCTAATATACATTGCCTATGAAGTCTTTGGGACTTCTGCAAAAGAATTTCCCCTCCCCCATCCAGGTCTATACCATGTCAAGCCCAGGAACTCTTTGCAAAACATTACAAGGTCTAAAATTAAAATGAAAGCTGTTGTATCTAAGAGGAGTTCCTTTATTTTTACTTTTATTTTTTACATATTTCAGCTATATAAAATTGTATGTTAACACCAGTTATTTCTTTTACATCTTAAGATTGCCTTATTTAGATAATGGTATTTTAGTTATGGAGTAATTTTAAGCAGTTTTAAATAGCTATGTTTTCTTCTGCTCCATTCCAAAATGTATCTGATTTGCAAGCTCATTAAAATGCAGTGTATTTCACATTTCAAATTTAAGAATTACTTTTTTTTTTGTTCTTGGGAGGTTAATAAAGAAGTTTTATTGAATATATTTTTCCTTTAATTCTTAACAAAGATGCATTCTATAGAACTTAAAAACTAACTCTAATGCTTTGCATGTTGTACGTAGATACTCGATATTAAAAAAATAGTGACCTTTCTCCACCTGGAAAAGAGAGAAATGGTTAATTGAAATTAAGAGTCATTTTTCTTAAGCTTAAAGCAGCAACTAGTAGAACATGTGGAATTTTTCCCAGCTGGTTGTTTAATTTGTTTTGCATTTTTAGGTAGCCCAGCAGAATTTTCTCAGCTACAGGTAGATGATGAAATTATTGCTATTAACAACATCAAGTTTCCATATAAGGATACAAAAAAGTGGGAGGAAACCATGGCTAAAGCTCAAGAAACTGGAAACCTAGTGATGGATGTGAGGCGCTATGGAAAGGCTGGTGAGTTTGTGCTACCACCATGCCTGGCCTTTGAAACTGGGGCCTGGCGCTTGGCAAGTGCTTCTAACAGTTTGCTGCAATAACTTTTTATATTTTTCACTTTACTTATGCTTTGGCATTAAAGGTGTTTTGTAGTCATGTTGTGACAAATCTTGAACCCTCCCCCTTTGAATATTCTGTCTGGACTTTTCACTAGCAAATTTACTGAATTCTACATTATTTATTGAATGATTTATATACTGGTCTGACTGAATGCAAATATCAATTGAAGACAAATGTATCTGCATCCAGGAGTTGTTTAAAATACTGAGTATTAAGAATTATGCTATGATTTAACTTTCTCGGCAGCGCCAGAACCATACTGGTATATATAGAAAGAGCCTGGTACGTCATACTCCTGTTGATTCTCAAATAACTTTGAATGTGCATTCCATTAATGTGTTTCTTAGTTTTAGAGGTTAGATGGAAAAGGGTATTAAACCTCTGCAGACCTACCAGCTTATGATATCAAAATATTTTTTTTCTGGTCCATGGGAAAGATTCAGCAAATTTGCTAGTTTTTTCATTACTAACATGATTTAACCCTTGTGTTTCAGGAAGGTGGTCTGTTGGTAAAAAGCCCTAAACTCTTGATTTATTTCACACACTGCCTGATTTGTTTGTCTTGTCTATGTAGATTTTTTTAATATGTGTATTCAATGACTTTATTCTTTCTACTTCACCATTTATGTGTACTCATTTGATCTTCATGTGCCAATCAGACTGGGGCAAAGACCAACCTTCCCTGCCATTTATACGGCATAAAACCCTCAATCTCACCAGTATGGCTACCAAAATTATAGGTTCACCTGAAACAAAGTGGATTGATGCAACTTCTGGAATTTACAACTCAGAAAAATCTTCAAATCTGTCTGTAACAACTGATTTCTCCGAAAGCCTTCACAGTTCTGTGAGTATTTAGAGAAGTAGGAGTGCTGGTGTGGAGCAAAGCAGCCGTTAGAATTGTGTATGGAAGAAAATAATTTATTTTGTTTGTGCAATTTTGATACGACCTTTAAAATGTAAATGATTGAATAAGGTAACATACAGTAAAGAGATATTATAAAATATATTTTTGAAAACCATAGGTATTCCTCATACAGTAGTTGTGAGTTACATAATGGTAAAATCAGAAGATCCCATAATGTTGACTTGCATGTGTTTCCACCAGCCTTTCATCATTAGACCCACCTCTAAGATCTTTGTGAGCATAAAGTAGCAATTATATAAAATTATACACTATAACTCCTTTATGCATTCCTTAGTCTTGACTGGCAAATAAATGTAATAGTTGGGTGTAATGTAAAACTTCATGAAGCATTTTTAGTTTTTGTGTAGATGAATTTGATGGGTAGACTTACATATGTGGTTAAGAGAAATCCGTTTTATTAATTTGATAAAAAATATAATGTAGAAATTTTTCTAAGTGTCAAAGGAATTTTTTTATATAGACTTTGAAGTAATGTGGTTTTTAGTTATGATACAAATTGTTTAAGTTAATAAATTTAAATTTCAACTAAATATTGTGCATTTATACTCACTTCTTAGATTGTGTTATTTTTATTTTCAAGTCCAAGTAACTCCTTTTATTTAATAAGGAAATCTTACCATATTGTATAAGAAAGGTTTAAATCTTTGATAATCCAATATGACTGTTTTGTGTGCTCATAAATATAAGCCAAATGAACTAATAATTATCTAGTTGATTTTATTTCTTGGAAAATTAATGATTGATTCAACTTAAAATCATTCATGCCTGCAGCTGGTCATTAATTCTGCCACAAATATTGAAGTATAATAAAAAAACTTAAGTTTCTACTACATGTAAAAGGTTGTAAGAAATGGATCAATATCTCGAGAAACTAATCTTGTTAAAATATATATTCACTAATGAGAAATGCATTATTTAAGCCCAAAGTCTAGCTGGAGAGAATATTAACTAGCACTTTTATCCTTTCCAGAATATTGAATCCAAAGAAATCAATGGAATCCATGATGAAAGCAATGCTTTTGAATCAAAAGGTAAATATCACTATTCTAACTTACATTTATAATACAGGAAAAGACACAGCACTCAAGTTCTGCTATTCTAAAAATTAATATCTGTAAGTGAAAGAAAAACTGATCCGCTGCAAGTTGAAACTAAAAAGGTTAGCACACAGATCCAGTTGCAGCCAGGTGGAAGGGCGTTCAGTTCCAGTGCTGAATAGTTCAGGAACTGCAAACAAAGCTTTGGCAGCATATTCCAGAGCTTTGAGTGCCTGCCCAAGTCAAATAAGAAAGACTGGTTTTCCTGAGGCTGTCAGCTTTCTTGCTATGGTATGCTGGCAACAGGGAATCTTAGCTAAGCATGAAACTATGAATGAAGTTTCCTTTCTTCTTTATTGTTGTGAAAGGGACAAGCTTGAAGGCAGTTAGCCGTAAGAGGGAAATGCTAGTGGCAATGAAGTCATTAGCAGATGTACCCATTTGTAATGAAAAAGAAGGCAAAGTATCTAGGGAAATTTTGGAGTTATCTCCATCTTCCTTCTTCTGCCCATCTGGAAGTAATTTAGCTGCCATACATTTTGTGCTATTCCTTGGGCACAGAAAAACAAGAATAGACCCAGTCAATGTAGGCAGGGGAAGGAACACAATGAAGGTGAGACTTCTGCCCTGAAACTAGACTGCCAAGAATGGGACTGGGTTTTCACAGTGCTTTGGTGGCTTTAAATCTACATTTGACAGTTTATAATACATTATCTTAAAGCCAACCTAAATACATAAATTTCCCTTTTCTTATCAATTATTTAATTTCATATTTCATTTCACCTGAAACAAAGAAAGAAATGACTACATTTTGTTTTCAGTTGCATTCTTTTTCAAAGAAGTTTTTGAAGCAAACTTTGCTTATTTTTCACTGTGATGTTACATGCAAAGCACCTGGGTCCTGTTCTGCAGTGGCTCAGGTGAGATAGTTGATCAGTCATCTAACTCTTTGATGACTAGGGGACTCTACGTGGGCCCTGTCATTGGAAGGTTTTGTTTAGATAAGTAACCACTAACTACTATCAAGTAATAATCACATATATATTTTATGCTGTAGTCTTTGACAGATCTATGGGAGAAGTCAGAATGTTTTTTTTCGTTTTCTTGGCTGAACTCCATTTGCTTGACTTAATATTAGTAGCTACCAGATCTTGAAAACTAGGTCAAAAAATTCTAATTAGAAGAATGTTGCGACTTTATTATTTGGTTTTATTTGATCTTTCTCTGGGTATCATTTTGTTTGTTTTCTTCCCCATTACGTTTCACTTCTTATAAGCGTTGTGAAACCTGTTATAGACAGTTTTCCATGTAGCAGACGAGATTATGGATTGTTGAACCTAAGCAAAAACTATTAATTTCCTCTTCCCTAAAACAGTGTGACGTAGCATGGACAATGGCACTTTGGCTTTACATAGCTGTGAACTATGATGCTGCGTGCTAAAATTTATTAATATAAATATTTGTTCCTTCTAATCCGAATGTAGTGTAGGCTACTAAAATTGCGTGTCCCTGTGCCTTGAAATAATCTATATCTTCTATGGCTATCAGTTTGTCCTCTTTTAAAATATCTTGCTACAGATTGGAAAGGCATATCAAGTATCATTTAATTTCCCAGTGGTGAGAAATCAAAATGAATGACCTGGTGTTTATTTTTTTTTCAACTAGCATCTGAATCCATTTCTTTGAAAAACTTAAAAAGGCGATCACAATTTTTTGAACAAGGTAAACCACAAAGCTAACAATTCATGCACTTCCATGGAATTGTTCTCACACTCCACTCCTCCTCCTGGTCTGTGGTGCTGGGCACTGAGCCTCTTCAATTTGTGTGTCATTATGACCAAGCAGCATAACGCATTTCCATTCTTTCCCTAGGGACATCAGGCTTTTCTTACAGCTCATGGGTCTACCTCTGTGGTAATGGGTCTTTGTGTGTCCTTTGTATACCTCTAAAGGTTTTACTTTTTTTTTTTTAACTTTGTAAAAAAAAAAAGGTTGGGGGAGATGCTCTTAACACTTCTTTCCACTGGGTAACAGTAAGAAATGAGGAATTTCATCTAAGCCTTACTGCTTACTATAAATTGCCTAATATTAGATTACACCAACATGCAATTGGCTGAGTTTTTAAAAACTCTAACCTGTTTTTGGTTGTGGAAAATACTCTTAATAAAGAAGAGTTATTTTTGCTATGGGTTGGTGGCTTTGGAGTGTTGATTTGATTGTCCTGTTGACTTTGAAGTAAATGCAGAGTAAATACGTTTTGGTTGCATCTGAGAACAGGTGCACTTTGAGATTCTCTGTGTTGGTGTAATTGGGCAGGGCTGCCTCAAGATGTGCTGTGCATGTGACATTTGCTTCCCTGTAACATTTGCCCAATGCTCTGTCTCATGAATGCTGTTCAAGCTCTGTTTTGCTACTAAGAACTTAAAAGTAATAGTCAACATTTGAGATGCAGTGGTCTGAGGATATCGTGCTGTTGCCATCAAAAATGTTAGTATTTCTTACTTTTAAGGTTATTAACATGTTGAGAAACATGTCTTATAACACAGTGCTTACTGGGTTTGTATATTTTGTGTTAATCACCTAATATCTTTCCTTTGGATTAAGGTCTCTTTTTGAGCGTAAACAGAAATAACTTACTGGCTATGTAAGTCTGTTTGTGTCAGTATCCTTAGTGGTTTTGATTTGTATTTTAAAATAAAATTCCTGTTTGTCTATGGCTATTTAACTGAAACATTATGATACTCTTTGCTAAAACTGGCTAAAATAAAGCAATTCATTTTCTTTCTCTATTCTAATTTTCTTTCACTTTTCTTCAACAGGCTATTCTAGGGAAGAATATTTTTCTAGGTCTCAAAGCAATTTTCTTTAAAAAATTGTATGTGAATAATTTATTTGACAGCTGAGATTTCAAGAAAATTTAAAAGTACTGTATGATAGTATATTTTCTGATATTTTACTTTTAAAATAATCATTGTTCTCTGTAAAGGTATACTTGTGTAGGTCCCCGAAGAATAAAAAGAATAAGACTTTACCCATAGGTTTATACATGAAGTTTGAATACTTGTGTTTCAAATACTAGGAGCAGAAAAAGAAAATGTTCCTTGAACATGTTTGTTGCAGTGGCTTGCTTATGAAAGGTGACTCATTAGTAAGAAGACTAGAAAAATGTGACTTGCAGCTGTCATGATGTAACTGAGTAGTGGCAAGTAAAAAATTGGGATTTTGTAGATGTTGTAACATTTGAAATTCTTTTTTTTTTCTCCTATTAGGCCAAACTATAAGATACTGCCCAGTTTACTAATAAAAGAACCTTGAAGCTTCTTCAGAAATATCCACTGATCCTACTCTAATACCTAGAGCTAGGGTTTATTTTGGCATCTGTATCTTCCTTTTACTAACTTTGAATTTGAAAGATGGGTAACAGATGAAACTGTTACACCTAGAGAAAAAAGGATTTCCTGACTATTCAAAAAACGTTGTCACTTAGTATACTGGCATAGAGACAGCTAATGATAGAAATTTCTGAAAGGAATTGTTTCATAGGAATGAAGACTTACATTGTATTTTTTCTTCCTTGCCCATGTGCTGCCACACAGGAAGCTCTGATTCTGTGGTTCCTGATGTAAGTAGCATTCGTTTGTCATTTGGAATAAGGTGAACTTGGTGAGACTGAATTAATGTACAGTAGTGTACTTACGCTGATTTTAAGTTGCATAAGAGTTTATCAGAGAGTTACCCTTCCAAGTTGAAAAACTTATTTTAAAATACAAAGCCAGATCTCCCTTGGTACAGTTTAAGCAAACTGTGATATGAATAATTTATGTGTGCGAAAGTGGTTCAGTAGATGACTTAATGAAGTTGTTCTCTATTTGTGTCTCTTCTCTGATAACTGATTAGCTTCCAGTTCCAACCGTCAGTGCCCCGAGCCGCTGGGTGTGGGATCAAGAGGAGGAGCGGAAGCGGCAGGAGAGGTGGCAGAAGGAGCAGGACCGCCTGCTGCAGGTAGCTCTGGCTCACGTGGATGAGTCGGAACTAGGTTGGATTTCATGGCTTTTCACCAGTCTGTGTCAACCAGTATTGAGACACTAACTTTAAACTCAACAGTCTCACAACCAACAAATATTTTTGTATGCAGTACATTTTCCATAAAACAAGTACTTTTCCATTTTGAAGATTTCCAGAATCATCCTTTAAAAATCATTATTTATTAACCCCATGTATGTTTTTATAGCGTATGAAGGGAACTCCCTTAGAGGGTGTGAAGTGCATGACTTTGTGATGACTTGGTTCCCATAAACTGTTTGCTAGGTCCATGGCAGAGTATACAGTTTGCTAGAGGCTTTAATGAGTTACAGCCATGATAAAGGATGGATACGGGTTGAATTCTGTGTCTATCTTATCTTTTACCCCAGTGTCTGCATTTTAATTCAATATCCACTCTTTTCTACTTTAGGGACTAAACTGTGATTGGCTTATGAAAATAAAATCATGGTCTCAAAAAGTTTGAGGTTGAAGGTTTAGAGATCATAAAAATGCTAACGAAGAAGATTCTTAATGTGAAGAGTTAATCTGTTATTTTAATATACGTCATATTTTCTTACAGGAAAAGTATCAACGTGAGCAGGAGAAACTGAGGGAAGAGTGGCAAAGGGCCAAACAGGAGGCGGAGAGAGAGAATTCCAAGTACTTGGATGAGGTAGCGTTAGAACATGCCTGTTTAGTTTTCCTTCTCTTTACCTTGTTGGTGGGATTAGCTGAGAAGCAGGAGACACTTCATTTCTCTCTACCTTTGACCCTCTGTTCACCTGTGTAGCTCTTTGAAAAATCCAGTGAGGTCTGATTTGTTAGAATTTTGCTTGGATGTTTCAGCGTTTCTCCTAGTTTTTGCAATACATCATTAAGGAATTACGTTAATAGAACTTAGGTGCATCTTCCTCTTCTAAGTCACATCTTAGTCACTCATGTGTAGCTTTTTTGTGGTAAAACTTTTTTTTTTTTTTGATGGAGTCTTGCTTTGTCACCAGGCTGGAGTGCAGTGGTGCGAGCTCAGCTCACTGCAACCTCCGACTCTCTGGTTCAAGCTGTTCTCCTGCCTCAGCCGTCCGAGTAGCTGGGATTACAGGCACGCACCACCACACCCAGCAAATCTTTGTATTTTTAGTAGAGAGGGGGTTTCACCATGTTGGCCAGGATGGTTTCGATCTCTTACCTCATGATCCACCTACCTCGGCCTCCCAAAGTGCTGAGATTACAGATGTGTGCCACTGCACCTGGCCTTTTAGTGGTAAAACACTTAACATGTTTTTTGAGTGGAGTCCTGGTCCAACTATAGTTAGTATCATCTGAAACGGAATATTTATGTCTATGTGAAATTATAGAGCTAAACAGATTTAGATGGATTTCTTTTTTCACTGGTCACCTAGGAACTGATGGTCCTAAACTCAAACAGCATGTCTCTGACCACACGGGAGCCCTCTCTTGCCACTTGGGAAGCCACCTGGAGTGAAGGGTCCAAGTCTTCAGACAGGGAAGGAACCCGAGCAGGAGAAGAGGAGAGGAGACAGCCACAAGAGGAAGTTGTTTATGAGGACCAAGAAAAGAAGCCACAGGATCAACTTGTTCTTGAGAGAGAGAGGAAATGGGAGCAACAGCTTCAGGAAGAGCAGGAGCGGAAGTGGCTGCAGGCTGAGGCTGAGGAGCAGAAGCGCCCTGCGGAGGAGCAGAAGCACCAGTCAGAGAGAGAGCGGGAAACATCAGTCAGAATATACCAGTACAGGAGGTCCGTCCCCACAGCCAGAGGGCACAAGGGCTGTTAGGGTGGCTTGGCTTAGCTGTATCCATTCCCCACTTCAAAGGCACCCCCTTGCTCTTCCTGTTTCCTACCACCCATTCTCCACACAAGTGAATACAAGCCACCAAACAGAACCTTTAAATTATAAACCCTGTCATGTCATCTTGCTTCCCTGCCCAGAGCCCTCCAGATCACTTCCTGTCACATCAGAAGCCCATCCAGCATCCTTGCCATGGCCTAGAAGGCTGGCATGAGCTAGATTACTTTGCAGTACCCCCATTCTTCCCCTTACTCTGTTCCAGCCACACTGGCCTCCTGTTTCTTCCTTGAAAATGCCCAAGGACTTTGGCATTTTCTAGTCCATCTGCTTGGAGAAGTCATCGAATGTTTGTGTGTCTTGTGTTCTCAGTTTCTTTTAGTCTCTGCTCAAACTTCACTTCCTTAGACTTTCTAGAATACCTGATTTAAAATACACGCCCCTTCTCAGTCCTTCTCCCTGTATCCTCTTACCTTGTTTTATATTATGCATTTATTTGTTTACCTGTTGGCCTGTCTGCTGCAGTAAGATATAAGTGCTTGGAGGATATTAAGTTTGTTTTATACACCTCGGTAGCTCATTCCTACAGTGGTACTGCAACATGGTGGGCACTCAGTATGTATTTGTGGAATGAATGAGTGAATGAATGGCTTGCAAATGTCTGTTGGCAATAGTGGGTCTGTTTTCTGTGGTTACTCATTGAAATACCTTTGTATGTTAGTTTTTAGCCCAAAGACTATTTGCATACAGGCTAGAATGACATTATTTTGATAACTCAGGGAAGGGCTTAAAGTCTAATATTTTGACTGCAAAATCTTTTTCCATCTTTTAGGCCCATTGATTCCTATGACATACCAAAGACAGAAGAAGAATCTTCAGGTTTTCTTCCTGGTGACAAGTATGTAGAGCATGTTATTGTAATTTAATTGATGATAACTGGCTTCAAATAATATTCCAGGGCTTGCCTCGATTTGTAGAACTACTTTAGCCCTCTGTCATCTGTGGGACATAAAGAGAAATTGCTGGTTGACCTTTGTATCAGTTAGCTTTTGCTGTGTAACCAACTATTCCTGAATTTAATGAATTAGCTTATGATTTTGCGGGTCAGCATTGTAGGCTGAGCACAGTTGGGCAGCCTTTTAGTTGACTGGACTTGCTCATGTATCTGCTTTCTATTAACTAGGCAGCCTTGCTTTTGGGGGTTGGCTGGCTGTCAGCTGGGACAGTGAGAACAACTGGATGTTCTTTCAACATCCACCGAGCCAGTGAGGTCTTATATACATGTGGTGGGGTAGGGGGGCAGAGGAAAGAGAAATAAAGAGAGAAAATCCACAAGGCATCTTAAGATTTAAATTGTTGACTAAAGTCACAGTCACAGGTCATGGAGAAGAGAAGAACACAGCCTCTTCACAGGTCAACATTGACAAAACTTGACCAAGGGAAATGGACAGGGCTGGGAAAGGACGGTGTCAATTTTCTGTAATCCAATGTAATCTTTCTTTTAAAAAGGTTAGTAATAATGGCCTAACATTACTCCCAAAAGGGTTATGTATGGATATCTGAAATGGGAATGGAGACCTTTGTTTTAGGCAGTTCGGCTGGAACTACTGGTCAGTTTTGGGGAATGAAGATAAAATTTCAGATATCTGAAAAGATATACATGTCTTAAAATTTTCTAAAACATTATTTTAATGTGTTAAAGTAAATTTTTAAAATGCTTTGCAGTTTTGAAATCACTAAGGACTTCTAACAGTCTGTCTACAAGTGTCGAGGGTAGGGCCTTTCCCTAGTGTTTTCAGAGCTGAAATTTCTCCTTTTATCTTACTTATTAGATATAAGGAAAGACTTGTGTCTACAAGCAACCAGCATGACTGAATAGGGCTCAGAATAGAAGGGGAAAAGGAAAGGAACAGATAAGCAGTAATGGGCTGACAATAAGCCAAAGAAAAATCTAGTGATAGATGACCTTGTTTATGATCTCTCAGGGTAATGGTAAATCATTCAAATTTTTATATCCTTTTAAAAGTTACAAATTTACTTACATATTTACAAAAGCTTTATTTATATAGCTCATTAGCTTGGGGAAAATAATTAAAATGCAGAGAAAGAAAACTTAAGGAAGCCTGGGAAATATGAAATACCTGCAGGCAATCCTGATAGAGCATACCCTAGAGACATTGTGGAATGTGGCTAGGCATCTGGTAATAAGTGTTTTCTTCTATGTAGATACAAGTGAAAGTATTCCCAAGTGCAGCTGTCTACCACTTATGACACATTATTATGTATTATTGATTGTTGGATTTATGCATATTTAATATATGTATATGTATGTACATAAGAATAATATTACAGATTATTTTATAATGTATATTATGCATTGTTATCACTATTATTTTATTTAATTTTTTTTTTCTTGAGGCAGAGTCTCACTGTGTCACCCAGACTGGAGTGCAGTGGGGCGATTTCGGCTTGCTGCAACCTCCACCTCCTGGGTTCAAGTGATTCTCCCTTCCATGTAGCTGGGACTACAGGAGTGCGCCACCATATCCAGCTAGTTTTTGTATTTTTGTAGAGACGGGGTTTCACCATGTTGGCCAGGCTGGCCTCAAACTCCTGAACTGAAGTGATCCGGCTGCCTCGGCCTCCCAAAGTGCTGGGATTATAGGAGCAAGCCACCACGCTGAGCCACTACTATTATTTTGAAAGTTCAGTGTGTCTAGCAGAATGGGAATGAGATTAGCATGTGTTGATTTATACACCTAAAGTGTATTGGTACAAAGTTAAGGCATTTCCTGAAGTTGACTATGCTGTATGCTTTAGTACCTCTTTGAAACACTAAGATGGCATTGGTGAAATTAATGTTCCACAGTAGTCAGTGGCACTCCAATGCCCAAGAAGTTGACATTATAACCCTGAGCAGTGTGGAGGAAGTGGGACAGTCTGAGTGTAGGTGATCTGATGGCAGACGTTTTGTAAGCCTGATGAGATTTAAGGTCTGGATCAGAGTGAACACTGACAAAACTTGACCAATAAATTATAGTCTTAATTATCATACAAACTGGAGAATTACTGTCGCATGTCTGTATGTATTTCCAGCATACCAAACTTCTCTTTTTTAGGGATGTCAAGATTTTCTTTTAGCTTGTGAAAGATGAAACTTTTCTTGGTTTAGAAATAATTGCTCTCAGAAACACAAAATAAATCAAATGCTTTAAAAATCAATCTCTTTGGTGTTTTTACTTCATAAATAAAAAAGATGTTATTAATGAGACATATTTAATATATTGTGTTTTGTATTTTAGGAATAAATCCAGATCTACTACTGAACTGGATAATTACTCCACAAATAAAAATGGTAAATGCGATTTCCCCCCCACATTCCTTCACAATTGCTTATTTGTGCTATGTTATGATAAGTATTTTTTAAGGTCAAGATATTTCGGATTCATTAAGATTACATAATTAAAATACTTAGTATTTTAACCTCTGTATAGAAAAACAACAAAACAACTGTCTTGTGTTTATTTTGGCTTTATTTTATATTGGAAAAATATAGGGAGATTAAAATGGCTTTTAAATTGCTAATGAAATATGTGGGAATTTTGCAAAGTCGTGCTGATGTAGTTGCCTAGAGTAGATTTTGTCTTGCAGCTGAAGAAATGGTATAGAAAAGATTTCTGTGAAATATTGGAGGAATTAAAAATTGCATACTAATTTGAATTATGTACATGCCAAAATATCAAAAAAAGAAAAAATTATGACTTCACTAATTCTGTAAAAACAATTAGGACTTGACATTGTTAGTATAAAATATGTCTCTGAAGAATGCATGTAACTGAAATTATGTATGTATGAAAAAAACCCTAAGCAATAATTACCATTTTAAGCAGGGTTTGCATCTCAAAATTTGCATAAGCAGGTGGCTGGTCATTTATATGAATGAATGAAGGTCCAGGTAAGGCTGAGGTAGACATGCCCATCAAGGTGGACAGTCACTGCCCAGCTCTAGCCTATCATTGCTATGCTGGAGAAGGCAAGCCTCTGATTGCTTACTCTTCCTGTTGTAACAGAAAATAAAAAAACAAAATATATATGTATCTGTTTTCATGTGTTATCTTTTATGTGCTGACAAGAGATTCTTTTTTTTTGAGATGGAGTTTCGCTCTTGTTACCCAGGCTGGAGTGCAATGGCGCGATCTCAACTCACCGCAACCTCCGCCTCCTGGGTTTGGGCGATTCTCCTGCCTCAGCCTCCTGAGTAGCTGGGATTACAGGCATGCGCCACCTGTAATTTTTTTGTATTTTTAGTAGAGACAGGGTTTCACCATTTTGACCAGGATGGTCTTGATCTCTTGACCTCGTGATCCACCCACCTTGGCCTCCAAAAGGACAAGAGATTTTTTTAATAAAACTAAAATCCTCTGTGAGCAAAACAATCTATCTACAGGCCAAATACTCTAGTGGCAGCTAGTTTTTAACCTCTGGTCAAAGCTTATAAAACTTAGTTTTTATTGAGATTTACAGTTCTATAATTATTCCTTTCTTCAAACAGTTAGGACCTTTGTTATTTGGTTCTAGTTTAACTTTCCAGAGGAGCTATTTTTCCCTTAAGGGATCACTTTTTTTATTGTACTTTAGGTTCTGGGGTACATGTGCAGAACATGCAGGATTATTGCATAGGTACATACATGGCAATGTGGTTTGCTGCCTCCATCCCCTCGTCACCTATATCTGGCATTTCTCCTCATGTTATCCCTCCCCAACCTCCCTACCCCCACTGTCCCTCCTCTATGCCCCCACAACAGACCCCAGTGTGTGATGCTCCCCTTCCTGTCTCCATGTGTTCTTATTGTTGAACACCTGCCTATGAGTGAGAACATGCAGTGGTTGATTTTCTGTTCTGTCAGTTTGCTGAGAATGATGGTTTCCAGATTCATCCATGTCCCTACAAAGGACACAAACGCATTGTTTTTAATGGCTGCATAGTATTCCATGGTGTATGTATATGTGCCACACTTTCCTTGTCTGGTCTTTCATTGATGGGCATTTGGGTTGGTTCCAGGTCTTTGCTATTGTAAACAGTGCCACAACGAACATACGTGTGTGTGTCTTTACAATAGAATGATTTATAATCATTTGGATATATACTGAGTAATGAGATCACTGGGTCAAATGGAATTTCTATTTCTAGGTCCTTGAAGAAGTGCCACACTGTCTTCCACAATGGTTGAACTAATTTACACTGCCACCAACAGTGTAAAAGTGTTTCTATTTCTCCACATTCTCTCCAGCATCTGTTGTTTCCAGATATTTTAATGATCATCATTCAAACTGGCATGAAGTGGTATCTCAATGTGGTTTTGATTTGCATTTCTCTAATGACCAGTGATGATGAGCATTTTTTTCATGTTTGTTGGTCTCATAAATATGAAGACACTTTTGAAAAGTGTCTGTTCATATACTTTGCCCACTTTTAAATGGGTTTGTTGTTTTTTTCTTGTAAATCTGTTTTAGTTCTTTGTAGATTCTGGATATTAGCCCTTTGTCAGATGGGTAGATTGCAAAAATTTTTTCCCATTCTGTTTCTTTTGCTGTGCAGATGCTCTGGACTTTAATTAGATACCATTTGTCTATTATGGCTTTTGTTGCCAACGCTTTTGGTGTTTTAGTCACGAAGTCCTTGCCTATGCCTATGTCCTGAATCATTTTGCCTAGATTTTCTTCTAGGGTTTATATGGTGTTTGGCCTTATGTTTAAGTCTTTAATCCATCTGGAGTTAATTTTAGTGTAAGGTATCAAGAAGGAGTCCAGTTTAGCTTTCTGTACATGGCTAGCCAGTTTCCCCAACACCATTTATTGAACATGGAATCCTTTCCCCATTGCTTGTTTTTGTCTGGTTTGTCAAAAATCAGATGTTTGTAGATGTGTGGCGTTGCCTCTGAGGCCTCTGTTCTATTCAATTGGTCTGTATCTCTGTTTTGGTACCAGTACCATGCTTTTTTGATTACTGCAGGCTTGTAGTATAGTTTGAAGTCTGGTAGTGTGATGCCTCCAGCTTTGTTCTTTTTGCTTAGAATTGTCTTGGCTATGTGGGCTCTCTTTTGGTTCCATATGAAGTTTAAGGTGTTTTTTTCCAGTTCTGTGAAGAGGATCATAGGTAGCTTGATGGGAATAGCATTGAATCTATAAATTACTTTGGGCAGTATGGCCATTTTCACAATATTGATTCTTCCTAACCATGAGCATGGAATGTTTTTCCATGTGTTTGTGTCCTCTCTTGTTTCCTTGAGCAGTGGTTTGTAGTTCTCCTTGAAGAGGTCCTTTACATTCCTTGTTAGTTGTATTCCTAGGTATTTTATTCTTTTTGTAGCAATTGTGAATGGCAGTTCGTTCTTGATTTGGCTCTCTTTAAGTCTGTTATTGGTGTAGAGGAACGCTTGTGATTTCTGCACATTGATTTTGTATCCTGAGACTTTGCTGAAGTTGCTTATCAATTTCAGGAGATTTTGGGCTGAGACAATGGGGTCTTCTAAATATACAATTGAGTTGTCTGCAAATAGAGACTATTTGACTTCCTACTTTCCTAATTGAATATCCTTTATTTCTTTTTCTTGCCTGATTGCTCTGGCTATAACTTCCAATACTATATTGAATAGGAGTGGTGAGAGAGGGCATCCTTGTCTAGTGCCAGATGAACTTGCCTTTAGCCACCATTAAAATTATAGTTTAAGTACTTCAGTATTCCATGAAATATTTCTAACCTGCAGTGATTATGTCTCCTGAACTTAAACACAAGACATGTTAGTAATGGCAACTGTGAATCTCCAGAATAATCTTGGTAATATTTGTGACTTGTATCATTAATCAGATTATTGTGTATGTATGTTTCCCCCCTTCATTAACTCATTGCAAGTTCTTGGATAGCAGGCAGTGGAAGTTATTAAATATTTGATTTAACAACTTGGTTATACCAAAAAGACATTTTAAAATGAGGCTGGGCTTAGTGGCTCATGTCTGTAATCCAAGCACTTTGAGAGGCCAAGGTGGGCGGATCACAAGGTCAGGAGTTTGAGACCAGCCTGACCAATATGGTGAAATGCTGTCTCTGCTAAAAATACAAAAATTAGCCAGGCCTGGTGGGACATGCCTGTAATCAAAGCTACTCAGGAGGCTGAGGCAAAAGAATCACTTGAACCTGGGTGAGGAGGTCGCAGTGAGCGGAGATCATGCCACTGCACTCCAGCCTGGCGCCTGGCAACAGAGCGAGACTCTGTCTCAAAAAAAGAAAGACAACATTTATTTAAAGTCTGACCAAATTGATAAGCTTTGTATATACACAAATGTAAATACAGTTATATAAGAAACCTTTGATCTTACTCATTTGGTCAAGGCATAGACAAACAAACAATAAATTTCAAAAGAATGGCAGCAGCAGTAAATATAGAGAAAGAAAAAAAAAATAAATCCTTAGATGAGATTAGGAAATCCAGATTAAGGTGGGAATGATATGTGAGAGTTGTGGGTGTTTTACCCCAATCAGAAACTAATCACCAAATCCAAGAGACAAAGTCCTCAGGATAAAACCTGACTTAATTGTTACGAATAAATTCTTTCAAATTATATTTGTGTCAGTTTCTTAGAGTAGAAGCAACATAGTCATCCATAAACGTTATCTTACATGATGCTCTTGTGAATGTGGTGAAAAGGGAACACTTCTACACTGCTGGTGGGAATGTAAACTAGTACAACCACTATGGAAAACAGTGTTTAGCTTCCTTAAAGAACTGAAAGTAGAACTACCATTTGATCCAGCAATCCCACTACTGGGTACCTACCCTGAGGAAAAGAAGTTGTTATACAAAAAAGGTAGTTGCTCACTCATGTTTATAGCAGCACAATTCACAATTGCAAAAATGTGGAACCAACCCAAATGATATACATGATATATACATGATATAAATGTTAATTTATGGATGATTATTTGGACTGCTCAAATATTTTTCCTTTTCACAAAAGCCATTTCAATGTTTTAATGTGCTTTTCTTCTTACATCTTGGTTGTCACTTGCACACTTTGGTCCTGTCAGCTAGTGATATGTGCATTTATGTCCTGTCTCCCCAGGGAAGAGCTACATTTGTTTGAGAGAAGAAAACTTCCTGTTTCCTTTTAGAGTTGTCACAGCAAGCATTTGAGCATGTTCTTGATTGATTTAATGTGGGAAAGGAAGAGTGGAAGAAAAACTATTTCTAGATGAGCATTTTGTAACTAAGTAATACCAAAACCAGTACTGATTGTTTCCTTTTTGAGCGGCCTTGTTCATTTTCCCAAGTGTGTTCTGTGGTGTGGCTCTGGCTGTAGAACTGGACCTTCTGGAGTAGGAGGTGGTTACTTCATGTTCTCACGCAGCACCCTCATTGAGAATTGGCAATGTTAGTACATGTGCCTAATGCCACATTTTAAGCTGCAATGCAATTGGGTGATTTATCCACTGTCACTTTTTATTTATTTAATTATTTTTTGAGGCTGCAATTTCAAATACATTTTATTTCCTTGTTATATCACTTCTTTCTCCCTCCCTTTTTATATTTGTATTTTTATTTTAAAAAATTTTCTATTTCCATAGGTTTTTGGGGAACAGGTGGTATTTGGTTATACGAGTATGTTTTTAGCAATGATTTATAAGATTTTGGTGCACCTATCTTTTAAGAACTGAAAAAAAAAGAACTATACACTAAGCTGAATTTGTAGTATTTTATCCCTCACCCCCTTCCCACTATTCCTTCCTGAGTCCCCGAAGTCCACTGTGTCATTCTTATGCCTTTGCATCCTCATAGCTTAGCTCCCATTTATAAGTGAGAACATCTGATGTTTGGTTTCCTATTGCTGTGTTACTTCACTTAGAATAAGTCTCCAGTCTCATCCAGGTTGCTGCAAATGCCATTAATTCATTCCTTTTTATGGCTGAGTGGTATTCCACGGTGTGTGTGTGTGTGTATATACACACACACATACATCACATTTTCTTTATTCACTCATTGATTTATAAACATTTGGGTTAGTTCCACATTTTTGCAATTGTGAATTGTGCTGCTATAAACACGAGTGAGTAACTACCTTTTTTGTATAATGACTTCTTTTCCTCAGGGTAGGTACCCAGCAGTGGGATTGCTGGATCAAATGATAGTTCTACTTTCAGTTCCTTAAGGAAGCTAAACACTGTTTTCCATAGTGGTTGTACTAGTTTACATTCCCACCAGCAGTGTAGAAGTGTTCCCTTTTCACCGCATTCACACCAGCATCTATTATTTTTTGATGTTTAGATTAGGGCCATTCTTGAAGGAGTAAGCTGGTATCACATTGTGGTTTTTATTTGCATTTTCCTGATCATTAGTGATGTCAATCATCGCTGTCACTTTTAAAATGTACTAATCTGGAAGCTTTTGTTTTTAATTAATTTAGGAAGCAATAAATATTTAGACCAAATTGGGAACACGACCACTTCACAGAGGAGTTCCAAGAAAGAACAAGTACCATCAGAAGCAGAGTTGGAGAGGCAACAAATCCTTCAGGAAATGAGGAAGCGAACACCCCTTCACAATGACAACAGCTGGATCCGACAGCGCAGTGCCAGTGTCAACAAAGATCCGATTTGTGTTCCTGGGGTCATGAGAAGGTGCGAGACATCTTAGGAGTTGTTCTCTTGTCTTTACTAAGAGAGAAATATTTAATTTGTGGACATGCTTTAGACAGAAGAGATGAAGGGAACAGAGCAAACTCCCTGGGGGACTGTTACGTGTCAGCCAGTTTTTGGGTTTACATGACCTCATCTAATCTGAGGAAAATGTTTTGAGGTAGAGATAATCTGTGTTTTTGTTTTGTTTTTGTTTGTTTGTTTGTTTGTTTTCAATATGAGGAAACTTTGGCTCACTCAGGGAAGACATTGACAAAATCCTGTGGTTACAAGGTTGCAAATCTGGATGGGGACCTCTGAAGTGAGGGTTCAGATGCTTACTTAATGCACACTGCTCTTAGAGCTGTCTTGGCTGCTGAACTTCAACAAATAGAAGTTTCATCTTTTTATATTTATAATGAGATAATGATTAGATGGGAATCATGATAACTGGGTTGAAAAAGTAATAAACCTAGTTTTTATAACTTTATGGAAGATAAAGATAGAGATATTAATTGGAAATGAGTAGGGGAACATTTTAAAAGATGTATCTTATGTAAATTAATCCTGCAGCTACTCTGATTGGGGAATCAGACCGGGGAATACTATGTGTAACATATCACAGAGAAAGAGCTAATTATCTTAATATGTTAATAACTTCATAGAAATCAGAAAATTATTCCTGCAAACTCTATAAAAAATAAATATGTGCCTGTAATCCCAGCTATGCAGGAGGCTAAGGCAGGAGAATCACTGAAACCCGTGCAGTGGTTTCTGTGAGCCAAGATCACGCCACTGCACTCCAGCCTGGGTGACAGAGCAAGAGACTGTGTCTCAAAAAAATAAAAAATAGAGAAAGGAATATGAACAGACAGCTCATGGGAGAAAGAAACACAAAGCCAGTTTTTATTGATAAAAGATCAATACTACTCCTAACCAAGAATGTATCTCTTTTACTTACTGGATTTGTAAAAAGTTAAAATTGATTAAATTTGGTATGGACAGTTGTATATGGAAATAGGAATTCTTGTTTCCACTTGGTTGGACAGTTTTTTAGTGTGTATTAAGCAAGAATGTATACATCTGACTCTGAGCAATGTAGTTTCTAGTACTGTGTCTTCTGGGTATATTTGGATAAATGTGCAAAGGTATATTCAAGGATGTACACATTATTTGTTAATGGCAAAAGAAAAGAAAATCACAGTGTCTCCTAGTAAGAAAAGGAAAGCACTTGTCTACTACAAGAAAATCATATTTACTGAATACTCATTAGTTATTCAGTAAATAGTGGCATACTGAAAAGCTAGAATACTGTAAGATTATCGAAGAATGAAAGAAAAGTGTTGCTACATAATAAGCCACCTCCAAATTTAGTGAATTAACACAATAATTCATAATCTCTCACAGTCCTGCAGATTGACTGGGCAGTTCTTTGCATGATGTTGGCTGGGGCACTTGAGCAGCTGTAGTCATTTACAGTAGGTGTTGGTAAGATTTTATGCACAAGGACCAGATATTAGGGTTTGCAGGCCACATAGGTTTCTGTCACATATTTTTTTTTTTTTTAAGACTTTGAAAATGTGAAAAGTGGTCTCAGCTTGTGAGCTGTGTCTATCTTGGCAGCAGGCTGTAATTTGCTGTCCCCTGTAGCTGTAGAGGCTTCATTGAGAGCTCCGCCAGAGTTACTAGTCGAGGGGCCTGTGTTCTGTATATTGGCCTCTCCACATAGTTGTTTGGGCTGCCCCATGGCATGGGACTTGGATTCAAAGAGGCAGAGCTTGCACCAAGGCAATGGCTAATTAGCAACGGCTTATCAAGCCGCCATGTGTATCATGTTTGCTGATGCCCCACTGGCCAAATTAGTCATGTAACCAAGCCCAGAGTCAGTGGGAGGGGACTACATAAGGGCATGGATACCAAAAGATGTGGTTCACTGGAGGCCACTGAAATATAGTCTATCATATGAGCAGAATGATGAGAGTTCTGAGATAATACATTTTAAGTGGAAAAGAAGTTATTGAAACTGTGTTGTGGAGTAATCCATTTGTTTAAGACTGTTAAACACATTGCATATGTATATAGACACATCTGTACTTACATATGTAAATTTGCATGCGTATGTAAGTATGTGCTGGCATGTGTGAGAAAGGGTCTGGAAGGACACATAGTTAATGCGGGTTACCTCTGTGGGTTAGGGCAGGTGAGTCATAAGAGAGGAAGGACTTTCCTTCTCCCTCAGATGTCTTTCTCTGCAGTTTCAGTCTTTCTCCTTATGATAATGTATCACTTTTATAATGTTAAAATTTTAAAAATCAAGTTTGGGATAAGAGAAAGTTTTAAAAGCAATAAAAACAAATTTGACCAGGTAGACAAATTTTCATAATTTTGAGTTCATTTTTGTACACAACTTTTAAGAGAGATTTTCCCAAAAGTTGTATTTAAATCCATCTGGGAGCTAAATCTGATTTTAAAAGCATATGTACTTTAAAGGATGTGCATGATAAATGCTCCTATAATGTAGACATTAAATAGTTGCTAAATTTAGGGATTCGGTGGTACATAAATGAGATCTTCACAGGAGGCATGGTCTGTGGTTTGAAAGCCAGTGCTACCATTGACTGGCTCTTCCTATGAGAAACTCACTTCTATGAGATTAAAAAAAGTCTTAGAGTTGTGAAGATTCGATAAGTTTAATATTTTTGTGAAAGTGTCTAACCTAATGCTTGTCCTATTTAAGCTTTGAAAATGTATTTCTTTGAATTTTTAAAAGATTTTCTGGTTGATATGTGTCAACAAAGATTTAAAGGATAAGTATCTTCTTAGACTTCGCAGATCATTAACTTTTATTTTTATTTATTTTATTTTATTTATTTATTTTTGAGACGGAGTTTCACTGTTGTTACTCAGACTGGAGTGCAATGGCACGATCTCGGCTCACCGCAACCTCCACCTTCTGGGTTCAAGCAATTCTCCTGCCTCAGCCTCCCGAGTAGCTGGGACTACAGGCTCGCACCACCATGCCCAGCTAATTTTTCTATTTTTAGTAGAGACAGGGTTTCACCTTGTTGACCAGGATGGTCTTGATCTCTTGACCTCGTGATCCACCCACCTTGGCCTCCCAAAGTGCTGGGATTATAGGAATGAGCCGCTGCGCCCAGCCAGCTTTTATTTTTAAATATTTTTCTTAGTATTTTTCTTTCTTCTTTGGTTGGTATTTATTCTTTTACCTAAGCACCAAATAAATACAAATAAAAATAAACAAAGGTGTTCTCACTTGTAAGTGGGAGCTAAACATTGAGTACATATGGACGCAATGAAGGAAACAGTAGGCACCAGAGCCCACTTGAGGGTGGAGGGTGGGAAGTTGACGATCAAAAAACTACCTCTCTGGTACTCTGCTTAATACCTGGGTGATGAAATCATCTACACCAAACCACCATGACACTCGTTTACCCATGTAACAAACCTGCACATGTATCCCTTAAACCTAAAATAAAAGTTGGAAAGAAAAACAGATTAAACAAAACAGAAGAAGGTTGATTAACTATGAAACTTGATGCCACTGATGGTGAAGATCCATTTTGCTTGTTAAAGGTAATTTTACAGGTGGGTCCTGGGCTTTCAATGGTTCAACTTAAGATTTTTGACTTTACAATGATGTGAAAGTGATGAGCATTTGTAGAAACGGTACGTTGAGTACCCCATGAGCAGTCTGTGTTCTCTTCCAGTACGGTATGCAGTAAGTTGTATATTTGACACTTTATTGTAAAATAGGCTTTGTGTTAGTCGATTTTGCCCAACTGTAGGCTAAGGTAAGTGTTCTGAACATGATTGAGGTGTGTGAAGCCTAGTTATGATATATGGTAGTTTAGGTGAATTAAACGCATTTTTGACTTATAGTATTTTCAACTTATGATGGGTTTTTTGGGACACAACCCCATCATCAGACATCGAGAAACATCTGTGTATGTAACTAGAATACTTAGATGACTACCCTGACATAAAATATATGAAATGGATTTTCAATGAATGGAATGATGAATCAAATAGATTTCTAGTTGAATATATCACATAATTTTGATGAGTCTCTTTTGTGTTTCAGAGGCGAATCTTTAGATAACCTGGACTCCCCCAGATCCAATTCTTGGAGACAGCCTCCTTGGCTCAATCAGCCCACAGGATTCTATGCTTCTTCCTCCGTGCAAGACTTTAGTCGCCCACCGCCTCAGCTGGTGTCCACATCAAACCGTGCCTACATGCGGAACCCCTCCTCCAGCGTGCCCCCGCCTTCAGCCAGCCCTGTGAAGACCTCCACCACAGGTGTGGCTGCCACACAGTCCCCCACCCCGAGAAGCCACTCCCCTTCAGCGTCACAGGCAGGCTCTCAGCTGCGCAACAGGTGAGGCCCTCCTTGTTTCTCTTTCTTCTCTTAGCCTTGGGTATTTTTTTCATTGAAATATCCCCGAAATCCTGTCCAAGTTTTCCAAGAAAAAAGAAAAAGAAGCCCTTGTGAATGTGTCACACTTGGTATTCTTGTATGAAAGTAATGAAGGCTTGCTCAATCCCATTCCATGCACCTCTAACAGCATTTCTAGATGTCTTGTGAAGCCACCGGAGACCTTGAAGACGTCTACCTGTTGCCACTGTCTCATTTGCCTGTGCTTGTGGTCAGTGTCTTGGATGTAAGACGTACCCGAATACTTCTTGGTGTGGAATCATGAAAACATATAGCAGCTCATGAATGCTTCTCAAATTTCTGAGGGAAAGCAGTATTGTCAAATATCTGATTATTTTCCTGATAGTGTCATACAGACTCGTAGGAACTGAGTGTGAAAGAAGAGCATTACAGTGCTTTTCCAGGCATGCTCCATTGTCTGGGGGACTTTTAACTAGCTGGATTAAAGAAATGTGGTCATTTAGATCTTGCTTTTGGGGTTTTTGATTGCCAAAATCATTGCTTGGCCATTCTGTTTGCCCATGTTTTGTTCAGGCTACATCAGCTGGATTCAGTAGGGCATATGGTGTGGGAAGTGTATATGTTGTGATAGGGTGTAATTTTTTTACATGGAGTGAAGCTCAGATATCAGCCCTGCCTGGTCTTTAGATCTGGGTAGCTTCTCCACAGATCTTTCATGCCTCATGTAGGTACATCAGGCAGTGCTGCTCTCATTACCACAAGAGAATGCTGTTGACATTTACTCCTTTCCAGCACAAGTGGAATAGTTAAAAGTAGAAACACACTGATTAATATTGGGACTTTTTAAAGTCATCAGATAAGAGACTCACAAGAAAACATGTTTTGTATAAATCCAACATAATTTTGCATGTACTGAGATATGAAGTATGTATCAATGAGCTTGAATTGAGAGAACAGAGGTGAGGTTTTAGGGTAAATTTGGGTATGGTGGGGAGGTCCAGTCTATGGGAAGAGAGGAAGGCAGAGGAGAGGGGATCCATTTACTGGCTGAGAGGCCCACTCTGGGAGAGCAGAGGGCTGAGGGCTTTACTGACCTAAGAAGGTCCTGATCTAGGAGGTGGCCTCTGAAGTACTGTGCTCATGCTGTGGGGGTGCAGAGGTGTGGAAGGGCAGGCACCACTGTGCCAACTGGAAGAGGAGAAAAGATCTTTATCCAAAAGTAGAGTAGAAATCCTCTTTTTCTCTGTCCACGGCAGTGGTCAAGAACTTTTCATTTTCTTCCTCACAGAGACAGTCCTGTAAGCCAGATGGACAGTGAGGAAAGCACTGGCATTTCTGTTTAACTAGAAAACTGGGTGACCAAGAAAGAGGGTGAAAAATAAGGCTGAGAAAATAGGTCATAGAGGACTTGCAAAGCCTCTCGAAAGAAGTTGAGGCCACTCTTTCGGTGTTCTGAGGGGGTCAGAAGGACACAATCAGCATTGTGTGCTTCGGTTAACTGGCAAGAAGATGAGGTAGATGAGATGAGGGGAGACTGTTGCCAAGTACAGAGGTGATCAAAGGAAGGATAGCATCAGAAACTGCCGGATGGACTAATTACACTGAAATTGCTCATTTATGTGAATAGGTGTCAAGGGCCTTGGAGCTGCCATGGAGATGGTTCAAGGTTAGAGTATAATCAAGGCATTCTTTAGTTGGCTGGTAAAGGTTATTCTCCCACAGATACATGTATAGAGCTTTGCATAAGTTATTATCAATGTTAATACCAGACTGTGACTTTAAAGAAGGATCTTGAGCTGCCCAGGTGAAAGCCTCCATTCCATTCTTGTTCTGCATCTAGGTCAGTCAGTGGGAAGCGCATATGCTCCTACTGCAATAACATTCTGGGCAAAGGAGCCGCCATGATCATCGAGTCCCTGGGTCTTTGTTATCATTTGCATTGTTTTAAGGTGAGACTGAGACAAACAGCTTGCAGGCCTGCAAAGCTTTGCTTGGAGAGCGCATGGCTTCTTTGAGCCGCTGGGTGTAGATGTGCCATTAACAAGCTAGGTGCTGTATTTGTCAGTCTGTGCTGCATTTGAATCACAAATTGCTTGCTACTTCCTAGTTCTCAAATCTTGAACCTTGTTTTAAAACTGAAATCTGGAAAAATTTTGCATTTTCTATTTCTAATCTGTTAGAATCCTATACATTTACAGTACATAAGTTGCTTTCTCCAAGATGCTGTCAGAGGCATCCTTGAAATATAATTTACCAATAACTTGCTAGTACTGTTAAGGGCAGGAACACATGCAATTATCATAATGTCTGAAAGCCTAGCTTTGAGCAAGAGGAATGTATACGGAAAACCATTACCATTGTAGCTATTTTTCTAATTGCACAGCCTGTTTATACCTGGTAGGTTTTTCTTTCTAGGAAGAAACTAAGGCTGTAACTGGTTTTGTAATACCTGTCTCTAAAGACATAGCTGTTTAATTCTTGAACTTGCACTAGGCCAGAGAAGCATTCTGGTTGTTGATCCTGGAGGCCCGCAGACCACAGCTTGTTTAAGTTTGTATGTTGCTGGCTTGGGCTGTTCTTAGGCAGAGCAGAATGAGTCAAGATAATTAGAGTTTGGGCACGTGGAATCTAAATACCCAGCCTTCAAGTGAAGCGCTGTGTGAGAACACTCGCTACGCTAGTGCAGCAGGGGCACGGGGAGCGGCCCACCCCAGGGTGCCAGAGCCCCGTCTTCATTCACTCTGGCCAGTTCTTTCATGGGGGGCCTTATCTGCCATTCCTCTAGGGGAATTTAGTATTTTATACTAAATTTCTTTAAGTCATTCAGCAAATTATTTTTATTTTGGGGGAGTACATTTAGACTGATCATCTTGGCTCTTAATATTGGCTTTATGAATTCTTTAACATCCTATCTGGCAGGCTTTATTTTAATCTACTAATCATCTTTCGGCCTTTTTCTTTCTTTGCTGAAATGTGTCTAAGAGCTTAGAAGTAGCGTTCTGCTCATTTCCCCCCGACCCGCAGGAGTGCCCCAAGCTTTCTTGAGCTGTGACTGATTGTGGGTGTCTTTTTTTTTTTGTTCCCCAGTGTGTTGCCTGTCAGTGTGACCTCGGAGGCTCTTCCTCAGGAGCCGAAGTTAGAATCAGAAACCACCAACTGTACTGCAATGACTGCTATCTCAGATTCAAATGTAAGAGAGCAAATCAGAGAGAAAATTTCTTGCCTTTTAAGGAGACCACGGGTTCCCATGCATTGCCCTGAACCTGCAGCCAGCTCCCCTTCAAGTTCACTGCTGTAGGAGTCCAGGTTTCAGGAATCGTAGTGTGTTCTGTTCAATGCTGTGTATAGAATGGGTCACTGTTCAGGGTTCCAACTACACGGGAGTGGGTTGTGGGGCCAAGGAATGGAGAGGAACATGTTCCTGAAAGTCAAGATGGTGTCTTGTGTCATCTGCCCAAGGTCTGTAGAGACCTTTAATGACTCAAGAATACAAGCCAAAAGAGTTAAATTAATCTCCTATGTAGGCTGTAGGCTATAGTCTTGACTAAAGATTGGTCACTCATCATCAACTTATTTCTATTATTTAACAATGGGTGTTGATTATGTGATTTAGAATCTGACCAACTTGAAAAACTATTGTTCTATGTAATACAAAATAAGTCAGCTTATGCTTTATATTAATATATATCAATATACAATTTTAAAAGGAAAGTATTAACTATGGTGTTTTAGTGTCATTTTTGGAAAAAATGAGTTTTCAAAAACTTCAAATGCTACTTTGCCCCTAAGCATGTGTTTGTGTGTTATAGAAGGTAGACTAGCAGAACTAGGTTGTGTATTGTGTATAGCTACAGCAAAACAACCAAAATATTACTGCTGTTTATATTTTAAACCTTGATGCTGGTAACGTGTGTTTCTTCCTTATTGTGAAAGGGTGTTACAAGTGGTATCAGCAAAACCATTTGCTTTTGAGCTCTGAGGTATTTGTATGGCCCCTATGTGAAGAGTGCTTTGGAAATGGTTTAAGCCCAGTCAACTCTCTCTTATCTGTCGGTGGGTTCTGAGCCTTCCTGCTGCAGCTGTCCAGTCCTTTCCTGGATGCTGATGCTGAGGTTGGAGAAAGTCAAGGCTGGGCATGTACTGGTGGGTGTGTGTATGTGTGTGTGTTTTTTTCTCTCTCATCAAATTCCAAAGCCAAATAGAAACGATTTCTGGAATTATTGTAAAATTGCCCATGCCTTTTCTCTTCTCCAAAACAAATAATAGAGAGTTGAGTGCAATTTATTTCTATTGTGAGTGGTTCTTTTTTTTTTTTTTTTTTTGAGACAGAGTCTTGCTCTGTCACCAGGCTGGAGTGCAGTGGCGCAATCTTGGCCCAATGAAACCTCTGCCTCCTGGGTTCAAGCGATTCTTCTGCCTCAGCCTCCCGAGTAGCTGGGACCACAGGCATGTGTCACCACGCCTGGCTAAGTTTTGTATTTTTAGTAGAGATGGAGTTTCATCAGGTTGGCCAGGCTGATCTCGATCTCTTGACCTCGTGATCCACCCGCCTCGGCCTCCCAAAGTGTTGGTATTACAGGCGTGAGCCACCGCGCCCGGCATGAGTTGTTCATTTTTACTCCATTTTTACAAATAGAGAATTCCACAGACCAGACACTGACATTTGCCTAGCTTTATCCTAAGAGTGAGTGACAGGTGACACTTTCTACCTCATCGGGCCACTTTCTGAGTGATGACTGCTATGTATCCCAGGTGGCAATATTCACATTTCTGAATCTAAGCTCTTTTCTTTCTTCTCTCCTTGCCCGATCAGCTGGACGGCCAACCGCCATGTGATGTAAGCCTCCATACGAGAGCACTGTTGCAGATAGAAGAAGAGGGGGTTGCTGCTGATGTAGAGCTATAAATATGTGTTGTATGTCCTTTTTGCTTTTTTTTTTAAAAAAAAAATAACTTTTTTTTTTGCCTCTTTAGATTATATAGAAACATTGTAGTCTGTAGAGCTTGTAGTTTTGTTGTTTATTTATAAGGTAACTGTGTGTGGGGAAAGTGCGGTATTTACTTGTTGAATTCAGCATCTTAAAAGCACAAGGGAAAAAAAAATAAGAACTTAAGAATATTTTTGAGGCAGATAATGATCTAGTTTGACTTTCTAGTTACTGGTGTTTTGAAGAGGATATTTTATTGTTTTTTTTTAAAAAAGGTTCTTAAACATTATTTGAAATAGTTAATATAAATATGTAATTGCATTTGCTCTGTTTATTGTAATGTATTCTAAATTAATGCAGAACCATATGGAAAATTTCAGTAAAATCTACCCCCAAATGTGCTTTCTGTATCCTACCTTCTACATATGTATTCTGATTTTTAAAAATGTAGCTAGTGTACCATTTATTTGCTTGATGAGGGAGCTCTATTTTCTTTACCAGAAATGTTGCTAAGTAATTCCCAATAGAAAGCTGCTTATTTTCGTTAATGAAAAATAACCATGGTTTGTATACTAGAAGTCTTCTCCAGAAACTCGTGAGCCTTTCTGTTCAACTGCATTTGTAAATAAACTTGCTGATGCATTTAAGGAGTGGGTCTTCTTTCTCTCTGGTGTGTGTGTCTCACTTTAGGCCTTTCGTCATATTTCAGTATGTGGCCTTTTTGGATGTTATGTCTTAATAGCTTTACAAAGTTGTAATTGATATAATAAAGTGCACATATTTAAAGTGTATAATTTGACAAATTGTGACATGGTGTATACCTTTGAAACTAAGCCACAGTCTTGATATGTTTACTGAAACATTTTAATAAGGCACTTTATTTTTGGTAAAGTTACATGTTTTTGGATACAATACATTTGTATCATGAGAGTGATGAATTGTTGGATTATTTGAATAAAATATTTTCTTTTACTACCCCATGATAAAAGGAAAAAACAACAGTGAGTATAGAATATTTATTATATATATATATATATATATATATATATATATATATATGTAATGTGGTGTCTTGTTTCAAAAATCTGGAGAAGGAATGCAAGAATACAAAACTTAAGCATGCTCTGGGCAAACATTTAAATTTACTGGAATCTCTTATAATGTAAGTGGAATGGACAATTTTAGGAACTGAGAACTGTGTTGGAATAGTTTCAAAATATATAAGAAATGTTAATGTGGAAGGCAAAAATTTTATTTTTATTTTTATAATGTATTCTAAATTAGAATTTTATTCTAATAAAAATTTTAAAATTTGTATTCTAAATTTTATTTGTATTTTTATAATGTATTCCTTGAGGATAACTTGTCAAATGCCCCAAAGCATAAAATATATAATTCTGAATCCCAAATTCCAAAGACAAGAGCTCTGTGTTTGAATTCATTCTGCATATAATTATTTACCTGTAAGTATCTATGGATTGTGGATTTTTCCATGTTCTTAAAATTATTTTTGTCTTTTTTCATGGTTGCATAGTGCTCCATTGTTTGGCCCTGGTAATATTTAGTTGATAATTCCATTACTGTGTATTTTTCAGTTGTTTCTAATATGGAAAATTTTAATATGCATGTTACATATATAAACGTAAATTCTATGATACTCTATGATCATCTCTATTTCTTTATATTATTTTCATAGACATGAAATAGTCTCTCAAAGATTATGCATTTTAAGACACTCATTGTATATATTGCCCACGTGGTTTCCAGAAAGGCTCTGGGCTTGGGCTCTGATAAGCAGCACATGGGCTTGTTCACCTCACACATGTTTAGGAAGATATGTTTCTTTTGCCTTGTTCTCTGTTTTATGTATATGCAGAGGTAGCCCTCAGTATGCAGTGGTTGAATAAATGAATGAAGAGACCACTATCAGTTTCTGCCTTGTGGATTCTGTTTTTCACCGTCCCCAGAGCATGCCTTAATTCTCCCATCATTTTAGTTTCCTTATCCAACATCCTTTCTGACATTCGCTCCTTTTCATCTAAGCCTTTTGTCCTTTCATCTGCTCTTGTTTTCTTATGACTTTTTTCTCATTTTTCACATTGTCTTAGTGATAACATTTCCGTTAGTACAAATTAGAAGTACAGTTTTCAGAGCTATTTTCTTGTAGGATACTGGCTCTACATTTATGTAAACCCCTGGGTATTTGTTTGTCTTTTTTTGTGAGTTGGGGGAGTTAAACCTTTAATGAAAAAAATAGAAAAACTTTAAGTATAAAGTCATAATAAAGTATAACGCCATGTTAATGGTAGAATGTGATGGGTGTATGGATATTCACCATATTCTATATGTATATAATTTAAGTTTGGGGTACATGCATAGAATGTGCAGGTTTGTTACATAGGTGTACATGTGCCATGGTGGTCTGCTGCATCCATCACCCCGTCATCTACATTAGATGTTTCTCCTAATGCTATTCCTCCTCTATCCTGTCACCTCTTCCTATCCCTCCCTGTTCTTGGGTTTTCTGAGAATGATGGTTTCCAGCTTTATCCATGTCCCTGCAAAGGACATGAACTCATCCTTTTTTATGGCTGCATAGTATTCCATGGTGTATATGCACCACGTTTTCTTTATCCAGTCTATCATTGATGAGCAGTTGGGGTGGTTCCAAGTCTTTGCTATTGTGAACAGTGCCACAACAAACACACATGTACATGTGCCCCTGGGTATTTGTTACTTCACCTAGGCACAAGGGAAGGTTCCAGCCCTTCAACAATTTTTTTTTTTATTCATACTTTATGCTCCAGGCACTGCTTTAGGCACCATGGGTAGAACAGTGAAGAAATACAAGGTCTTGGCTCTGACTGGTCTTATTTTTCTGGTTGAGGGAGGTGATAAAATAATACATGAGAAAGTAACATTCAGGTTGTGATGAAGCAACACAGAACAAATACTGGGTAAGAGCCATGCAAGTGCTGGAAACAGAAGTTTGACAGTGCTTTTCTGTTCAGGTGCTCAGCCTTTTGATCTTTGGGCCAAAGCCTGAAGAAATGAGGGAGCAAAACAGAGACTTGATGGAAAAGCATTCCAGACACAGGCAGCAGCAAGTGACACGTCTTGACACAGGAAAGTATTTGGTGTGTCCAAGAAGCAAGCATGGTTGAGTGGAGTGAGTGTGGAGGGTTTAGGAGCTGTGGGGAAGTAGAGGGCACAGAGCTGCAGTCACTATGGACATGGGCTCTTACTCTAAATGGAATAGGAAGACACTGGAGGATTCTGAGCAGGGGAATGAAATGAACTGACTGATGTATTGAAAGTCCTGCTCAATACTGCTGTATGAACAAGCCTGCAGAAGGACAAAGGCAAAGGCAGGGAGGCTGGTTTGGAGCTTATTGAAATTATCCAGGCAAAAGATGAGATTTGCCTTCAACAGGGTGGGTGAAGGGGAGGTAGTGAGGAGTGGGAAGATTGGTGTGTGTGTGTGTGTGTGTGTCCTGAAGGAGAAGCTGGTAGAATTCGATCATAGATTGGTTGAAGCAAAAGACAGGGCGGAGTCAAAGACGAATCTGAAATGTTGGCCTGAGGAGCTGGAAAAATGGAATTGCCTTTTTCTGAAATGGAGATGTTTAGGGGTAGAGTACATTCGGGTAGGGTGATCAGAGGTTTGGTTTTTAAAACTCTTGAGTTGTGAGGTTGAGCCATCTATCAGATACCTCAATAGCAGTGTTGAGTAGGCAGCTGGCTGTGCCAGGGAGAAGCCCAGGCTGGGGATATAAATGTAGAGTCATCGGTGTGTAGATGTACTTTCAGCTGAGAATTGGGAGGACATCACCTGGAATCTGAATGTAACTAGAGTGGAGGCGATGTCCAAGGACTGAATCCTGAGGCGCTCCAGCACACTAGAGATCAGAGATGCAGAAAAGTGAGCACGAGAGAGAACCAAGACCCTGGTGCCCTAGAAGCCAAGTCAAGTTCATATTTTAAGGAGGGAGACACCTGTCATGTCAAATGCTTCCCAGAAATCCCGTAAAATTAGGCCTGAGAGTTGACATTTGGAGATCAGTTTGCAATGTGCTTTTCCCCCGGTCATGCACATATTTGTGTTTGATATTGTCCTCAAAGGTTCAGTTGGTGGCTCCTCACATAGATGGTAGCTGGCGCAGTTTTCAGTGCCTGGCTGTCTTTAAATGGATCTGATGTTTTTGCCTAGTTTTCCAAGTGAGATGAGCTGAAGGAGAACATAGAAAGTCATCTCCAGACCACTTATTGTGTGCACCCTTCCCTGTAATGTACTAGTAACTTTCCCAGTGTGTTGTATACTTAACACATAAGTGATTCTTCTCCTCCTCCATCTGTCCTATAATTTCTGAGGATCTGAGAATATTGTGGAAATAAAGGTTTGGGGGTTGAGGCTATCCTAACTGCCTAAGAGGTGTGAGCTGGCCAGCTGGGGGGCATTTCTGCTCTGCAATGTTCTGATACAAACCCTAGGTCTTTTAACTGAGATACAGGGTTGTCTGTCTGATTTCCAGCTACAAACAAGCTTTGGTCCCTAAGGTTCCCCCACCCCCGCATTCCTTATGAATACGTGGTCCTTAAGTTTTGACACAGTTCAGAAATATGGTAGTTGATGGAAACTCCCTCTCAATTCTAGAATTAGTTTTCCAATTTTAAATCTTAGCATTAATAATTTTTTACTTTCAATGTGTTTATGCTTTGTGGGAAGCAGGGAGAAGCTGAATAAAAAGTTGCTATCTAGATGTTATATTAAGGTATAGGCTAGTTTTGTGATTGATTGATTTAGAGACAGCATTTTGCTCTGTCATCCATGTGATCACAACTTACTACAGCCTGAAACTCCTGGGCTCAAGCAGTCCTCCTGCCTCGGCCTCCCAAAATGCTGGGATTGTAGGTATGAGCCATTGCATCTGGCCAAGTTCTGTGTTTTGGGATGTCATAAATATTCCTGAAACTTACATCTTCCTATCCTTGACTTAGAGGCAGTAGGTACAGGTATATTCTTTAGCCATTCATTTCTTCAGTTGATATATTTGAGAATGACATGTGTAGGTAATCAAACCCATCTTCCCTCAGTGCTGAGCTAATTGGGAACCTTTTATAGGTGGTAAGGATGGAAAATATCAGCTTATTTTCCATTGGACCACTTCCCACTTGGATGGAGCTTAATGATGGAGCATTGAAATGAAGGGCTCTTTGTCTCTGTACTTGTGGACGAACCAAATGGAGGGGAGAGGACTGCATGTGGCGTGTGGGCAAGCAGCTTCGAAGACAAGGTCAAAGAATAGTTAAGGGCGCAGGCCATGTAGGAGGGGCTACTTCTTTTTTTTTTTTGGAGACGGAGTCTTGCTCTGTCACTCAGGCTGGAGTGCAGTCGTGTGATCTCGGCTCACTGCAAACTCTGCCTCCCAGGTTCAAGTGATTCTCCTGCCTCAGCCTCCCAAGTAGCTGGGATTACAGGTGTGTGAGGAGTGGCCACTTCTAACATTCAGTCTGTCCCAAAGTGGGTAGTGTTTGTCCTTCTTCCCTCTGTGGGGAGAAGCAAGGGAGTAGAGTAGAGAGAAGAATGATTTCTTCTTCCAGAATTCCTGAGAAAGTAAATGTTTCCAGGTTGGCATAAATGTAGAGG